TCCATTATGAAAAAACCCAGGCCCCGTTTAGTATCGTATAAATTTAATATTCTATGCATTATATTCTTAATGCAACAGCACGACAATAACACCTTTATAATGTGCCGCGTACGAAGAATATGGAATTATTTAATTTTCTATGTGAGAATCTATACATCCGCCTGATTTGATTTGCAAACCGCAATACTACGAGCCATGTTCGCTAGTTTGAATCTTGTTGGGGTCAAATGTCAATCAAATGTAACAATAAACATTCATGTTTAACATGAACATTAACACCTCTGCCTGTACCTTTCATTAGTCAATACTCAATCATGTAGATGTTATAAATTAATGAGACCAGTGTTGGACACGCAAATTGGAGTTTCTTTCCTATTGATACTGCAATTGAATATTATTAATAAGAAAATGTATTGAAAATTTGACATGTAATGAACATTATAAATTATGTATATTTATTATTCTCTTATTCAAATCAGACCTTTATGCCATATGTATTGTATAGTACCTATTCATATTATTTATATTATTGCATTATCTAGTCATGAAATTACACGCTTTGCTTAGTTTGGTTAAGTAAACAGTATTCTAGTTGGAACTATTTAATATTATTCACATATTAACTAATATGTAATCAAAACAACGGCCCTACGTAGGTGGGATGATCTCGCCACACAGTGTGACGGCCTTATTCAGATCATCCTTCGCGAAGGTCAGTCAGGCAATGAAGTTGATGCGCCGTGACCATTCGTTGACCCTCACATAGCCATAGGATTTAATGTGTCGGTGGCCAATTGAACTAATTAGAGATAAACAACAATAGTTTTGTATTGTCTGGATTTACTGGACCTAGGAAGACTGTGCCTACTTTTATTTTTCTGTAGCGACCAATCTACGTTTTCAGTCAGAAAGCACGACTTTGGCTTCGTATTAATTTTAGCATTTATAAAATCAATTTATAATAAGATTTAAAGTAATAAACAAGTAGCAATAAAAATGCAATTTAGTCGTGCAGAAATCAGGGCGAGTCATTATTATTCGACTGGAGTTTAATTTACTTACTATTTGACTTCACCATAACCACGGCAATCATGTTGAAAGTAAAGTATTAAAAATACAACGTTAATATTCAATATGCAAAGCAACTCTCGCTGCCCGCTGAGTACACAGAATAATCAAGCTGACTTTAATCAAAATAAAGAAGTAAAATGTACAGTTTTAACTGTAAAGAATCATCTTAATCCATCATGAGAAAATAAGCAATAAGGGGACAGATACGCGGTCGAAATCATAATTTAGGGTATTTTAATATCGTGCGGATTTTATCACGGACGCGGCATTGTCCCGCATGCGTGACAATCGCAAGTGTCCTTTTCATACAAGTATTTATTGTCCCTTGTGCGTATTTTACGCATTAGGGCGATTTCAATATGCTTCGCTATCGCCACAATCCCGAATACTTTATAAGCCACCGCGTTCGCAGAAAGTCGAAATATGTTTTAAACTTTCAACGTGCGAATATGCATACATGAATGTTTACCCGCCGTTAAACGGCATAACGCGATATGTATTGAATACCGGGAAAATTGCGACATTACGCCCGCTGCCACAATGCGGGCGAATGTTTATTCGCCTTTTTGTGTATTCGCGTCATCTCGCAAGTTTCTTCCTTGAGTTTTGGTATAGTGACGTGTCGTGTCGTCACTCAGGTGCATTGTATTTTATCGATAAGCAAATCTAAAAGCGAAAGGTCACCGACTCATCACCAAATCTCAGAAACTATAACACCTACAAACTTGAACTTTGGCAGGTAGGCTAAGAACGGATTTTACGAAACTCCATCCCTAAGGCGAAATCGCGGCAGGCCGCTTAGTACTCTTATAATTTTTGTTCTATTTACATTTAAGTTTAACTGTACCTACCTACCTACCCATATATTAAATTGGTGTTTGTTTTATTTGGACCCAAATAAAACATTATTACGTATTCTATTCTAACAAAATATCACAAATCAATTTAGTGCTCTAAGATTTTATTATAAGATAATTTTAACATAATATCCGGTCAAGTAATATGAAGGGCGCTACTTCCGCGCCTCTAATTATAAAAGAATAAGTAGCTACCTATTTAACTTGTCTTGCTCATTCGTTCTTTTGTCTTAGTGGTAAAATGAAATACGTTTTCTCTATTGAGTCAAAAGAGAGCCGAGTCAGAAAGCCAAATAGGTAAGTATGAGTTGGGGTAACTTAACAGTCGATAATAGGGACATCACTAGTAAGAACGACAAAGTTGCATTTACGTGGTTCGGTGGCGGAATGAGGGAGCGAGTCTCACCAAGGAGCGAAGAAATAAGTAACATTGTTATGCGTTCTCAAACTAGTTGCAACGAATTCAGGCCGAGTGTTTCCAAAGAAAAGTAAAGCCATTATGAATCATCCACTTCCTTGCATGCATTACGTGGTTAAAGCTGAATACTAAGCAATGACGATGACGGCCTAACGAAAACCGAAAATTGCATGTAAGATGGATATTGTTTTGAGACACGTAATGAACGTGATTTTTAAAGAATTTTCAAAATCCCAACGAATTTAATTTTTGTCCAATTAGCATTTCTTTACCACTAACAAAAAACTAAATGTGTGACGTAACTCATTAAGCACACCGCTTAAGGATTACGCAAGCAAACTTTGTTTTAATTTTGGCCTGGATAGGCGTTATGATTAAATGGAGGAAGTGACGTCATGAAATGATGGCAAGAAGTTACGTAAGGTTAATGTCCCGACAGAACTATACTTTCACCAGAGCTGTGCATGCGATGAATTTTATTACTGTGCAGTTTCCTCTTTAAAATGATTGAGATGTCAAATTTTAACTCGGTTTCATAACGCCACGTGCCGCCATATCTCATTAGAGTCAGAGTAAAATGAAAGGGAATGCTTCAAATGATAGCAAGATGTTACTTTTTTCCAGTTGCACCATCTAACTTTGACCGTAACTATAACGCTATAACGATAACCGGTGTTTTTTGTATGGAATTTGACAGATTTTGATGTTTGTCAAAGTTAAAGTAAGATGGTGCAACTAGGTTGCCAGGTCCAAAAACACAAAAGCCGGACTCTGTGCTTCGTTTGGCCGGACATTTTACCCTAAAAGCCGGACATGTGACGGGGGGGGGGTGAAATTAAGTGTCATAGCTCACGAGTGAGTACTTCATCGTATTATCGGTTGCCCAACATAACATCCTGATGCGTGTGCTTTATATCATTGTGTGACTCGACTTTCGCCCAGGCCAAATAAAAAGCCTAACAAAAGCCGGACAGGCCGGACAAGACCGTAAAAAGCCAAACATGTCCGGCTAAAGCCGGACGCCTGGCAACCCTAGGTGCAACCCATTCTAAACATTACAACATTACAAAAGACTAGCTGACAAGTCAGACAGTTGGATGGGAAAAAGAAGAATGGTGTTTTAATGGTTTTCTTATGACCCTTCCTCGGACTGGAACGAATATTACAAAAAAAAGTTGTTTTTTGCAAGACATTAGCTAAATCTAATCTAATAAAGTTCTCTAAATAAAAGCTCGTTGGTTGTAGTTTTCATAAGATATATTCATATTAGTACTACGTGTTGATTACCTTGAACGTAAAGTAACGTCATAAACGATTTTTGTGAATTTTACAATATCTTAAAGCTAAATAATAATAAATCTACGCAGATAAACTCGCGGGCGGAAGCTAGTTTTGCATGAATCTGTACTTAACCACTTTCGGTTTAATATACTTTCTCATCATCTCAACCGCACAAACGTCACGAAAAAGAGTGACGTTCCACAAAATTAAGTTTTTAGAACTGGGTCACAAATATTTCGCGTGACAATTTCGATGGCGGCCGATACCATTCGCGGGGGCATCGAAACAAAGAGTGCAGTTGGGTCACGATGTGACAGACGGGACAAACCCGTGTAAGCAACTCGGTCAATTCTAAAATTCTTGCTCATGATTGAGTAAGGTTTAAAGTTTTTACCAAAGTTTTGAATGTCGCCTAAGAAACTCGTAGCGACATCTGCCGGTTCAAGGATCAAAGTAAACTTGCACCGGGAGGCGATAGATGGCGTTGGTGTTATCAAATCTGAAACCGTGTCCTAGTTTGTGCATTGGGAAAGTTGGGATTGAGATTGATTACTGACATGATTACTAAAATCTTCCATACCTTGGAAGTCTATTTAAATGACTGTTCTATTTTTTATGTTATACCAGCAAAAACCGCGAAGATTCATAATCGTAAGTCGTCGTTGCTATACTTTTTTCTAAGGTAAAAAAAACACCTTTTTAAGACTGCGGGCATTCAGTCATTATGTGGAACTCCACTATTTAATGGCCTAAAACCACAGCAGTCTTCTGCTTAGCCGCCCAATGGCTTTCCACAAGCTATCCAATGTTCGTAGGCATTAAAAACCGGCCTATTCCACTTTGATCACCTGAATTTGATCAGCCAGGTGATCAAAGTGAACTCCAAGCGACACTTTGGTGTGCTCTGATCATCCATGGATAAGATCGCCTAGGCGATCAAGGTCGACTTCTTATCCATGGGTGATCACAGGACACCAAAGTGTCACTTGGAGTCACTAGGGTGATCAAAGTGGTATACCACGGTACCAGTGGTAGACCAAAAACCAATAGGGATGTTTCCTGGGTAAAAAAGCAAGAGTTTTAATTAGTCCGTCAGTTAGCCTATCAAAAACTATTGGACACGTATTTTTAACTTTTTAAAACTAATGAAAATGTAAAGAGATAAAGCGTGCCAAAGTTCTAAAGAAAAGGCCCGTGACGTCAGTAAGTGCGTAATAGTGCAGCACTTGGAGACGTCGCGCGGAACTTCAACGCACTATAGCTTTGTAATTATGTTTGATTGACAATTCAAAATATACGTGTCCAATATTTTTTTTATATTAACATTGACGGACTAAAAAATTTTTTTTAGGAAACTAGCCTATTCCACATACCTTGTAAATTGTCTAGCATATAGGTGAGCAGCTTCGCGGTGCCGTTGTTGTCGTTATAAATGGACAGCATCTCCTTGCTGAGCGGGTTTCCCTGCAAGCCGAGCATTTGCAGGTGAAACAACTTGCCCAACTCGTAGGGCAAGACTCTCAGGTAGTTGTTGTGCAGGTGGAGTTCTCTGGAACAATAAAACTCATTGTTACTTCGATAGTGAGTGTAGTGGAAGTTATTAAATGAAAAGAGTGGACTGTATAAAATTAATTGTCTATTCGGTATAAATTTACAATGATATTGAGACTGTTTAGTGCAAAGTCGTTGAAGAGAGTGCGTCAGGATCGTCTTCTTCTATGTTCGCTCGCGAACCGAACATTGCTCGTGCGTTCGCCGAACGCTCGCCGCTCCCTCCGGTCACGCCGCCCGCGGGCAATGTCCGTGAGTAGACACTCATTGTTGGTCATTTAGTTTATATCCGTTGTCAAGTACCCATAGTACAAACTTTGCTTAGTTTGGGGCTAGCAGCGCAGTGTAAAATGTCCAATGATATTTATTTATTAGTTGATATTGCAGAAGCACCACCCTATCTAGTTCGTTTCAGCCGAAAGACGTCCATTGCTGGACAAAGGCCTCCCCCAAGGATTTCCACAAAGACCAGTCCTGCGCCGCTCGCATCCAGGCACCTCCCGCGACCTTCACCAGATCGTCGGTCCACCCAGTGGGAGGCCTGCCCACGCTACGTCTTCCGGCTCGTGGTCGCCACTCAAGAACTTTCCTGCCCCAGCGGCCATCAGCTCTTCCTGATTCTATCTAGTTCACCAGAGACAAATAGTGAATTTGACCTGTAGTATAGGAGTGTACTCCCCCCACGCTCTCACCAGACTCACGCCCGTATTCACAAACGATGTTTGCTTAAGTGAAGCAGCAAATCGAACGCACAGCGTTGAATAGAGCTCTGTGATTGATTCGTATCATCGTATGTCACCCTGTGCATCCACGTGAGACCTCATAGTTTGTAAATACGCGCGTTAGTCCTAGCCTAGCTAAGGACTTCATGCTTGTGACTCCATGAGTGATCAGTTGGTGGAACTCTTAAATAATTTGTAGCACATCCACCTGTCTTATCAGTTAGATTACATTTTCCCTAATCACCCGGCTAACCTAATTATAATACCGTTATGTTAGGAGTGGAATCACCACAACCATTCTAAAACTAGAAGACGACTGAGTCAACTTGAGAAGAAAACTTTTTTGTTCTTCTTGTTTCTTATGGAAACTTATTCCCACACCTATAAAACGTTCGCCCAGGTTACAAATTTCATTGATGTAGGTCTTGTTAGTGGGTAGTCGGCCTGGTAATCCTTATTATTCGTTATTAATCCGTTAATTTAAATAATTACATCCTTTATTGAACAAAACTGTAACATCATGGTCCACAAAAAAGGTTTACTATAATCGCATTATGTACCATTTTAATGTTTGATAAAAAACAGCCTTGTAGTTATTTATGGCTGTCAACGATACAGGTTTTGTTAATTAAGTTTACTTATTCCGTGAACTATAATGATCGGCTCGAGTTCCATAGCAAGTTCACCGCGTTGTTTACAAATATCCATCAATTTACATAGTTATCATAACGTGAGCCCGGTTCAAAGACCTCGCATGCTAAACGACTGGTTTATTGTTATTCTAATATCAACGCGTTTTTATGCTACGCGTGTTTCAAAATATTTGCATTATATTTTAAAGGTTTTATTTTGAAAGAAGTCACTATAATAATATGCGATATAACATTTGCTATCGATATGTAGAGACGTCATCTAAACTGTGAAATGTTGTACTGTGTATTGTGCCAAATAAACAATATTCTATTCTATTCTATTCTAAAATCTGTATTACCATTGCATGTAACTTTCCCTTGGTTTTGGCAGAAGCATTTTAAATTAGACACATTTATCATTAAAAATATTTTGTTTATCTTTGAATTATAAATCAAAAGTCTGTAGCTTATATTTAAGTTAGTAATCAGTACCGCAAAACCGATTTACAAAAAAGAACTTACATTGATCCAATTACCCAAAATACAACCTTTACCCGAAAAACTGTGTCACACGAAATCCATTAATACTGTCAAAGTTATAGAGGTCAAATCGGGTTGCGTAGGCGCAGCCCATTCGCCCAAAAAGCGTAACGCAAACCAGAGGCATTAAATCACAATGGTTGGCGACACCTCTTTGGCACCTTCAGTTCGATAAACAATGTTGAATTGAATTTATAGCGAAGGTCGACAGATTGCAAGTAAACGAGCAAACAGTTTTAACGTTTGAAGATACAATCGAGGTCGGTCCGAGCGCCGATCAGAATTAAATCGTCTATTTACAACCTAAGGTCCACTGTAGGACAAAATAATGTTTATTTATGCATGTAGTCAGTCTGAACCTATGCATGGAAAGAATCTTGTTGAATAACCTTATAAACCTATGCATTTAGTTTTTAATTCAAATGTGATGAATATGGGTATACTATCAGCTTTATTGATAGTTAACTTACTTAGGCTGAGTTGCACCACCTAACTTAACGGTAATTATGACGATAACCGGTGCTTTTTGTATGGAGTTTGACAGATTTTTGACGTTTGTCAAAGTTACAGTAAGATGGTGCAACCCAGCCTTAGTGTTATCATCGTCGGTCGACATAATAAACCTCTGTACGGACGATAAAACTTAATTCACTTTTCTACTCATCTATCCAACTATTCATTGACAGTATACAAAGTAACTAGCTCAATTAATTGCAATCAAATGTTTGAACGTTTTGAATACAATGCCTGAAGAATGACAATTAAGAACACGTAACACGACACAGTGGCCTAGTAATTTGCTCTTAATACTGTAATTGGTGCAACTAGTTTTACGCGCTCTTAATAGATACGCTAACTTGGTATTCAGATTGATCAATGCCAATGAAGTGTAATTAGCATTGGAAATGGAAAGCGTACGATAGCGTTGACGGAGAAATTGGGTTTAATCTGGTGCCGCAGGCGCCTATGTATTGCATTAAATAGACTACAGGTATAAACTGAGTAGATTTCCGCGGTAGCGGGGGGTGCGGGAGGGGTGTTTAATACATTAAATGCCGTGAAACTTTAGACTTGTAACGTGACAAGTGGCGGCTGTGCTACATCGTGATTTGTCACCACAGGAACAAACTTAGTAGTTCCACTATGTGTCCTGTAGATCATACTAAACATCTTTCGTAGTGTACTAGTGTAGCACCATCCATAGTTATCGGCTTAGGGTAGTACTAAACCTCCTGTAGATGTTTTATTGATACACTCTTGGGAATATCAACCTTAGCGACTACGGGACTAATCCCACCTGTCGTTCCCACCGCTGCAACTCTTGTGTAGCCAGGATCTACCGCTTGTCCGCCAATAAAACCCAATAAGTGAAGGTAAGTTTGTCCCGTGGCCGCGGAGGAAAGTTCTGTCATTGGACCCGCAACGAAATTAATCAGAAGATCCACCTCAGGTACTGTGCATTTAGGTTGTACCTACTAAAGATATTGACAGTCTTGAAGTGAATTACTAGTCTATAATATTATAGACTTATAGACTCTATAAGACTATCTTACATGGAAAACCCAGTCTGAAGTAGCATGCAGATAATGTATGAGCTGATTTTTTTATTCACGTAATTTGCAGGCACACTGCAAGTTTATTGACACTCGTGTACCGTAGCATGTCAGTCAGAAAACGGTCGTATCGTGTTGTTTTAGTTTACTCAAGTGGTTCTTATAATTTATTCACACAACAAGAAAGAATGACATGACTGACATACGCGTAGAAGTTACTACTAGCTAGCCTGCATAAATAACAAAATATCTAGAAATATTTATTAAAAACGTCATTCCTTAACTGTTTGCAATTTCTGAAAGCAAAGAATCAATTACCTATCTATCGGCTATAATTTTCGATAATCGCGACTGTTTTTACCAGATTGGCATCAGAAAAGTGACATACTCTCAACTAAGGCAATGTTTTTGAGTTTACAGAATCGATTTACTGATAAATTGGGAGACCACAATTACCACAAATATCGACATATTACTAGCTCATACAGTACGGGTGACTCTACCCCCTATGACAAATACCTACTTGCAATATTAACGCGGGCGAAAAGGTCACTGGCATGTTTTTACGACACATGGCGTCTACTGCCTCCATTTATTCCGTTAAGTGCTTAGGTAAGTAAGTACTACAATAAAACAGGTTGGATAAATGTTTGTCAATACCAACATAACAGCATAGACTTTAAGAGAACCTCGGTTGACTAGAGGAAAACTAAAATAGAGGAAAATGGCGACAGATAGTGAAGGTCCTGCACGCAGTGACATTTATTTGTTAATTAATAGCTTCTGTTATCTCCAAGTTTCTAAATCAACGAAATGTCACTAGCCTTACTAAATATCAGCTAAAACCAATTTCTTTGAGAGTAATAATACGTCGCTCTTTCGATTCAGAAATAATAAAATGAAGTGAATAATAAAATTCTTTTTTATTAGTCTTGCCCTTTTCAGGGCACTTTTAAACATCTCAACATAGTTTTTAATGTTTTTATTTATGTTATACCTCCACCTGTTACTATGGTCAGCATGCTATTTGCCATAATTCACTTTTTTTTAGATTCTGTACCTCAAAAGGTAATAAACGGAACCCTTATAGGATTATATTGTGGTCCGTCCATCGTCTGTCCAGCAGACTTTATATTAATAATTATCATAAAATTAATGTTAATTTACCTGAGCTGTATCAAGTCCCCTAACTCAGCCGGCAAAGAGCGCAGCTTGTTGTTGGACACATCCAAGGTGTGCAGGTTGACCAGCTGGCTGATGTCAGACGGGATTCGTTGCAGGGAGTTGTCGTTCAGATACAGCGCGGTCAGGTGAGTCAGTTGGAACAGCTGGGGCGCCAGGGCGCGCACACCTCCTGTTACCTGGAAATGGGAGTAGAACGTCATTTGATCTTCTGTTAACCAGTTAAACGGGACTATTCCCACCTCTCGTTTCCACCACTGCAACTCCTGTGTAGCCAGGACCTACAGCTTGACCGCCACAAAAACCCAACCAATGAAGGTCAAGTTTGTCCCGGGGGAAAGTTAAACTGTCATTGGACCCGCAACGAAATTAATCAGAAGAACATAGGAGTTCGAAATTAAGGTTCGACTTCCCTCCGCAGACGCCGCAGATGCGCAACCTTTCCGCCTAGAGTTTTCGACTCGGAGCCGCGGCGTCTGCGCCGCTTTGAATTCGCCAGTATGGCAAGGCCCTTAGATAATAATCGAGTCCTGGTTACTTGAGTAAAGAATTAGAATTTGAAATAACTAGAGAGGTAGGTAAGTGTACCATCTCCTTTGTGTATTTTTTGCTTTTCTTGTCTGGTTGATAGTCTACTTTTGACTGTAGGTCAAATAGGATTGAGCATGGTAAACAAATTGTATAAATTTCCAGTTTGGCTACATTTTTTGTCTAGGCATCAAAACACTAGTAGAAGTAGTAGAACAAGGTCATTTGATGTTGTTATGAAATTCTGAGATTCATCAAAAATTGCAAAATAAATAAAAACAAAACAATGTTAACCGAATTAAAAATTCTATGATTCGTCAAAATTATGATTGGATTGTTACAGTTATAATAATTGACAAACTTTTCCCACTTTCTGATGAGAGAACACAGATTGTTATAACACCAGAAATAAGAAGATTGATGAAAAATTAAAAATATAGGTCGAGAGTGTTAACGGCTGGCAAGAACATTGATTATGTCTTCAGAAAGATGAAAGCTGAGTATTTACATTTAAAGTCTAAATTGCTCCGAAGATGCATACCTCAAGCGTGGTCCAGCCTCCGCGCCGGCCAGACGCTCGTTCCGCCTCCGACATAATGTGGTATGTGCGCCCGCTAGCGCCCTCATGCTTATCTTTGTTGCGAGACATGCTGTCAACTGAAACACAACGGAAAATATTAATTTGTGATGTCATTTTTGTTTTAGGTACTCACACAAATAATTTTGCTTAATATTTTAAAACTAGCTGACCCGGCGAACTTTAATGGCAATAAATAACGGGATAAAAAGTATCCTATGTCCTTCTCCAGGCTCTGAACTATCTCCCTGACAATTTACAGCTAAATCGGTTCAGCCGTTCTTGAGTTATAAGTGGAGTAACTAACACGACTTTCTTTTATATAATAGAAATATTTGACAAAAATGTATATTTTGAATTTTATAAACCCTGTAACTTTGTCAAAGCTGTTTACGTGACATTAGCGAAATCACAGTTCTCAAAACCAAGTCGTGGCCAAAATGAAAGAAGAAGAAGAACATCATCTACAAATACAGAAATGTACAGTCTTCAAATAATTACGCTGGAGATTAGAGAATTTGTGCTAGCTAGTTAAAATTAAAAATAAAATAAAATTCATAAAATTCATTTATTTTTGCAAATAGGCTTTAAAAAAGCGCTTTTACACGTCCCAATATTATGATCAACTACTACCTTAAAATTACATTTCATTAAGTTGTTACGTACTTCTTTATGGCTATTGATTGATATACCTAGATAATAGACTCAGATTGATTAGTTGAACATAATTTAAATAGCTACTAGGTACTACGATTTATATGAGAGGCAGGTGCTTTGCTTAGAACAACACATCACCCCAAGATAAATATTTTTTAGATTACTAGATAATACCTCATTTATCTAGCAGACTCTAATTTAAAAATACTGTATCTACAATATGCCTTTAACAAATACATTTCACATAATTTGAGGTTTTATGCTGAATAAATTTGTAACAGCCAACAAGTTAATTTACAGTTTTACATGTTGATTCTACTTTATGTAAGTAGGTCAACTTCTCTATTCTACTCACACTGAATAAGTTGCAAAAATCTGGTTTATGTAGGTCTTAGAATATACCAACCTAAATTATACATATAAACTAGTTGGTTTTCAATATAAATTTAGAAAGTGAAATAGTTTCGCTGTAGGAAAACAACTAAAACTAGCATTGTATACTAGTCTACTTCTTGTATTATTGTCTTGTTTATAGATTTTGAAGTATACATTAAGTAATAAAGTAAATATAACAAATCTATTCATAGTGCCTACGTAGTAACTATGAGGATGAAACTTGGGAATACAAAGTAACCACAAAAAATTAATGTTTAATGTTACAGATACATTACTTTCGATGTATAAAATAGATGGCAATCGAAACAAAAACTAACAAATACATAAAGCTATAATGCGTTTGCAACTGAATAATTGATAATACTTATAACAATTTAATCAGTATTTCTTACTTTATCTATATAAACATTGATAGTGATATTTGTTGTTGTAGAACTACTTTACTGGTTCTACGTCAATTGAAAGCAAAAGATGTACCTTGGTAGCACCGCGAGGGGTCATTAGGGGAGATATAGAGGCTTGGTTCGTTAAACTATTATCTTCTTTTGAAAAGTAAGTACAACAGGAGAGTTCCATAACCTCCGCCAAGAGGGAGGTAAACCTACAGAAGAGTGACAAGTTACAGTCATTTTATGTGTACAACAACTATAAATGGCTTATTTCAAAGAAAAATGAGCGATTTAATTCATTGTTTTAACGATTAGAAGGTAAATGCGTAGCATCTTTGTGTACAGCTGACATCAAAAAGATGGGTCGACTCGACGCACAGATCCAAAGCGCCAAATCGCAATCGCTACTTACATGTAAGAAACACTGAAAATCAATACTAATTCTTTTAATATATACCTTCATCTACTCCTTAAATGGTTTTACTTAAATTATGATTATAGTAACGGGAAATAAATCACTGTAAACACACTATAGCACAATCTTGACAAACACCACATCAAACGTCCATTTACCGACTGCAGCGCCAATCTGCGTTAGCGGCGAATTCTAGAACTTTCCTCTTGTGTTGTGGCGACCATAGACAATAATATTTTTGCGCCTGGCAAGGGCATAAATGGTGGGCGTTTTTAAAAATGACATAAACTTTCTGTTTTATTCTAAACTAGCTTTCCGCCCGCGGCTTCGCCCGCGTGGAATTTTGTCTGTCACAGAAAAACTTTATCGCGCGCGTCCCTGTTTCAAAAACCGGGATAAAAACTATCCTATGTTCTTTCCCGGGACTCAAACTATCTCTATGCCAAATTTCATCAAAATCGGTTGCGAGGTTTAAGCGGGAAAGCGTAACAGACAGACAGACAGACAGACAGACAGACAGACAGAGTTACTTTCGCATTTATAATATTAGTTGGGATAGTTGGGATATACAGGGTGTCCCGTAATGTAACGTCAAGCCGAAACTGGGTGTTGAGGCAAGTTGTGCTGGTTATCAGAAAAATATAAAAAAAAATCTATGTGGCATATTTTGAAAATAATAGTGATTTAAAAAAAATCTAAAAATTCTACTCCAGTTGACGGTCCTTTTACTCGTGTTGCCACAAATCTTCACTNTCTTTAAAGTTCGCATCGCGGGTGGTTCGATTTATTTGCTGTCGAGTGTATATTATAAGAAACTCTTTTCCGATGAGAGAACACAGGTTGTTATAACATTATTGATGAAAAATATAGGTAGTTTGAGAGTGTTAAAGGCTGATATAAACATTGTTTATCTACTGCACAACGATGAAAGCTGAGAATATACATTTAAAGCCTAAATTGGTCCGAAGATGCATACCTCAAGCGTGGTCCAGCCTCCGCGCCGGCCAGACGCTCGTTCCGCCTCCGACATAATGTGGTATGTGCGCCCGCTAGCGCCCTCATGCTTATCTTTGTTGCGAGACATGCTGTCAACTGAAACACAACGGAAAACATTAATTTGTGATGTCATTTTTGTTTTAGGTACTCACACAAATAATTTTGCTTAATGTTTTAAAATGTATCATCATCAACAGCCCTTTACAGTCCACTGCTGGACTATGAGCCTCCTCCACTATAGTGGAGGGTTTTGCCATAATCTCCACGCTAGGCAGGCGGGTTGGAGATTGCAGTTTAAAAGATTGATGTTTTTCAGAGAGCGCTGCTGCCCATTCTCTGTTTAATGTGTAGTCCCTAAGTCGCCTCTTACGACACCCGCGGGAAGAGTAGGGGTTGGTGACAAATGTATTCTGCTCTGCCGTCACCACACGGCTTAAAATGTATAAATTTTTAAATTTTATAAACCCTGTAACTTTGTCAAAGCTGTTTACGTGACATTCGCGAAATCACGGTTCTCAAAACCATGTTGTGGCCAAAATGAAAGAAGAAGAAGAACATCATCTACAAATACAGAAATGTACAGGCTTCAAATAATTACGCTGGAGATTAGAGAATTTGTGCTAGCTAGTTCATCAACTACCACCTTAAAATTACATTTCATTAAGTTGTTACGTACTTCTTTATGGCTATTGATTGATATACCTAGATAATAGACTCAGATTGATTAGTTGAACATAATTTAAATAGCTACTAGGTACTACGATTTATATGAGAGACAGATGCTTTGCTTAGAATAACACATCACCCCAAGAGAACTATTTTTTAGATTACTACATAATACCTCATTTATCTAGCAGACTAATTTAAAAGTACTGTATCTATAATATGCCTTTAACAAATACATTTCACATAATTTGAGGTTTTATGCTGAATAAATTTGTAACAGCGAACAAGTTATTTTACAGTTTTACATGTTGATTCTACTTTATGTAAGTAGGTCAACTTCTTTATTCTACTCACACTGAATAAGTTGCAATAATCTGGTTTATGTAGGTCTTAGAATATACCAACCTAAATTATACAAACTAGTTGATTTTCAATATAAATTTAGAAAGTGAAATAGTTTCGCTGTAGGAAAACGACTAAAACTAGCATTGTATACTAGTCTACTTCTTGTATTATTGTCTTGTTTATAGATTTTGAAGTATGCATTAAGTAATAAAGTAAATATAACAAATCTATTCATAGTGCCTACGTAGTAACTATGAGGGTGAAACCTGGGAATACAAAGTAACCACAAAAAATTAATGTTTAATGTTACAGATACATTACTTTCGATGTATAAAATAGATGGCAATCGAAACAAAACTAACAAATACATAAAGCTATAATGCATTTGCAACTGAATAATTGATAATACTTATAACAATTTAATCAGTATTTCTTACTTTATCTATATAAACATTGATAGTGATATTTGTTGTTGTAGAACTACTTTACTGGTTCTACGTCAATTGAAAGCAAAAGATGTACCTTGGTAGCACCGCGAGGGGTCATTAGGGGAGATATAGAGGCTTGGTTCGTTAAACTATTATCTTCTTTTGAAAAGTAAGTACAACAGGAGAGTTCCATAACCTCCGCCAAGAGGGAGGTAAACCTACAGAAGAGTGACAAGTTACAGTCATTTTATGTGGACAACAACTATAAATGGCTTATTTCAAAGAAAAATGAGCGATTTAATTCATTGTTTTAACGATTAGAAGGTAAATGCGTAGCATCTTTGTGTACAGCTGACATCAAAAAGATGGGTCGACTCGACGCACAGATCCAAAGCGCCAAATCGGAATCGCTACTTACATGTAAGAAACACTGAAAATCAATACTAATTCTTTTAATATATACCTTCATCTACTCCTTAAATGGTTTTACTTAAATTATGATTATAGTAACGGGAAATAAATCACTGTAAACACACAATAGCACAATCTTGACAAACACCACATCAAACGTCCATTTACCGACTGCAGCGCCAACCTGCGTTAGCGGCGAATTCTAGAACTTTCCTCTTGTGTTGTGGCGACCATAGACAATAATATTTTTGCGCCTGGCAAGGGCATAAATGGTGGGCGTTTTTAAAAATCACATAAACTTTCTGTTTTATTCTAAATGGTTTTAATACTGGATTTAATTATTTTATTTACTTTATCAGAGTGACTAACTTCCTTCCTCTTTCTATTTACTTAACTACTCTCATAAGTTGGAGGATTGGATAAGAAGTTTGTTTAAAATAATACTCACGTTTACGTTTTCTGACCGTTGCGTTGTAATCAATGATGAAGAATTTATTACAATCACTTGATTCCTGATAGGGAGAGTAACCAACTTCAGGCTGGCTGTAGGTACCTAATACCTATTTACCTACCTAAAAAGATAAATATAGTAACATTTCGGAGAATGTGCGAAGGATTTACACAATCTAATTATACCACTTTTTGATATTATACAGGGTGGTAAATGGGTATATGAAGTCAGAAAATAGATATCTTCATTTTAATTATTTTAATTTTCATACAAATCGGATTATATAAAATTTATTTTGTATGAAAATTAAAAAAATTAAATGATGATATACAATTTCTCTTCACCATACCATTTATATGACCATGTTAACATGGGCTAGTGTCGGCTCATATACCCATTTACCTAACACCCTGTATAACCAGTAGTTAATACCTAGAAATTCTTTTGTTTAGAGCTGGAAAAAACTCGTTTAATCTGATATAACTAGGTAAGACTTTCTGACGACACTAGCCTTTTGGTAAAAAAAATACAAATAAAATTCTTAGTTAAAAAATTCAAAAGTATAAGTAAGTACCTACTTATTCAGTGGAACGATAACTTCATTGTTTTGAAGCCCTTGTAAACACGTAGGTGCTTTACCTTGAAGAGTTTTTTAACTGCTTAAATACTTAAGTCTGTACCTACTTACATGTAGTCTGGCTATAAAAAAAAAGTTCGCATGTAGAGATTTGGCGCATGATGACTAGCTAGTTTATCTTCTAGTAGATGACCAGAACACCATGCACTAAACAGCATTTTAAAAGTGCATCGAAAAGCTTTTTAAATATTTTCATTTCTCATTGCAGTATCTTCAAGTTTAGTTCTTTTGTTTGATGCAGAATAATATTTCATTCGGTTCAATGTAAAAAGAACTCATAAATTAACATAAAAAATGAAAATGAAGCATATTATGCAGTAGGTACCTACAATATGTATTTAGCTACAATGTGCTATAGCACATTTGTTCATTAGGGTTCACAATACGAAAAGGATTATTATAGTTTACTGTGATTCTAGTGAAGCCTTGTTTTCTTCTTTCTTTTTATTAAGCACTCAGAAAAGAACTGTTTGTTATTTTGCCTGCTCTATTTATGGTTTTCATTTTAAATAGCGAATACTTATTGTGTGCGTGAAAAGATTTCTATAAAGTGACAAGATTGTTTAACGAGATAGTCTAGTATATTATAGTAGCTAGAAAGAGTCCGCTCCGCATAATCCTTGCAGGACACCATCGTGTACTTCAAACAAACGTAGGTATCGGACGATAATAACTATCAAGTAGGCCTCTTACTGCTGACAAGTAAGTAAGTATTCAGCAGCAAAAGCATATACCTATTAGAAATATTTTTTTGTTCTATGTTGTTTAACTTTTTGGGCAACCCTACAACTTCCATTGTATTCGTTAAATAAATTGAACTTGTCACTCCTCTGTGATGATATTATGACCTATGGATTAACTTTTGCAATATGGATGAGTAGGTAAATAAGGTAGTTAACATTTAATATAAGCGCAGGTCGGGCGCACATTGTGGATTTGTGAAAATGTTTTAATATTATCTTCCATTGTTAAATTTACTCACTTGCTGTTGGAGGCAAGGAGACTCTTCTCGTCTTGTCATGATTTAAAAAGTGGAAAAGGAATAAAAATAAATATTTACTGAGTTGAAATTAAAGCTTTATTGCACAAAATCGTAGTAGATTAAAGTAAACATGGTGGAAATTAGTAAGCTTTTAACGGACAGCACAAAAGTTGGAGAGTGTCCTTGTTCGGAGCTGCTGCATCCGTGGGCTAGCGGCTGTATCGATGCTTCCTTTAAGATGTTCACCTCGTGTGGTATTGGAGCAGCTAAGTTCTTTACACCATTATTCCTTGTAAGTGCCAATTTTAGTACATTATGTAGCTTCTGCTGATGCAGACAATTTTCAGCTTATTTAAACCTACCATTTAAAGTAAGTCATCATTGATTAAAACGGCATGTTTATTGAAAACATGCCGCTCACTATGATAATGCACTTGTGCACCCTATCCCCTATTAATTAATATTCTTCACGGATATTTATTTATATTAATCAATTAAGTATCTAGTTTTCGTAGCCTGCGCTTTCTGCTGCATTATCGCACCGTACTTTTGCGTCAAAGAGTGTTGTTAATAATCGGAATTAACATAATGTCTCACACCGTCTTGTAGGTCTCAACTCAACAACTCCCTTTATGTTTATGTTCACATAAAAAATAAAAATGTACTGCCTAAATGGTCAAATATACTTTTGCCATAAAGCGTCTCCATTCTACTCCAATCAACATTACTCTAATTTGTGAGACACATTATACGCAGAAGTAGTTTAGTAGATCAAACAAAATTTTTGAATTGTCAATGTCATTGTGGTGGCCGAAAACTGTCAAAAATCTGTCAGTCAACTCAATTACTATGAACAGAGAGTCGGACACATTTTTCGATTTTAATTTATAATATCATTACAAAATTTAACAATATTCGGGATTCCGAAGATGCGAATGCTTGTAATGCATTTAACTTAAGTGGTATCGAAGATTTGTCTTCCAAACACTGTGTTGTGATATCTTGTATTTGTACCTATTTTGCGTTGTAAGAAAGAAAGTTAAAAAAGGTCTTAATAATACAATGGTGGAGGCTAGCAAATTCGCGTTTGAAACAGCTTGTAGCAGTTGTGAATGTCGTTCTCTTATACATCCGTGGACCGACACTTGCCTCGATGGAACTCGTTCAATGCTATGGAGCTGTATCAGAGGCAGTTACAAATTTTATGCCATGGTTTATGTCGTAAGTACCATCGTTTCAAGCTAGACTTGATGGAATAAATTTATATGATTTATATAAAATGTTCTTTCTATCAATATTATTTAATATTATTTTTGTGATGACTAATAAATTGTACTCTTAAGATGTAACCACATTAGTATCTAGGGCAATTAGGTTTAGGACATCCAAAATTTAAGTGAAAAATAGTTACACTTATTCAGCTGTTCATGAATGCATTATGTAACAAACATTCATAAACTTTCACATTTACATAAATAATTAGACCAGTAATTCAGGTCAAATTGTTGAGAAACATTTTTTGTAGTCAAAAGATTAGGAGTAAATACATTTCAGTCAATAGATGGAGAGAGTAAGGGACAATAATATGCATGTAATGTGCTGCTCTCTTGTAAATTGTTTTTGTTAGTAATAAAATCAACCATTTTATTAGTATTCAACCAAAAAAGTCTCTGGGAGACACCATAAGCCATTGATATAGATTAGTTATCTGTATCCAAGCAAGATAAGATTCTAATACCTTATTGATTACGGTATGTAGAACAATGTATAATTTAAAAATCAATATTACTATCAAATGGATGACCTATTTTGTTTTATCTTAGGTTTTCCTTATTGATTTGACTACATATTGTGGGCTTCAAGCCATAAGGGCATATGAGCAATAGTCCTAGTATTGCTTATACACCCTTATGGCTTAAAGCCTGCGATATATGTATTACATTCCATGCAATATGTTATTAAAGCTATTTTAAGTCTAGTGAAACCTCCGGTGAAGTCTCCTTGAGGCCTACTGGAACCTAGAATATTTGAATAGATATCAATAGTGTATGCATTTGTTCCACAGAAGTAAAAAGCCATATTCATAACATATTCTGCAGGTCTGATTTTATTTAAATAATTAAGTAACTTACTTTATTTCAGATCCAAATATTGATGAGAGGTAAAAAGCTGAAAAAGAAAGATGTGATTGAACATCTAAAAATGTATATCAAATCAGGCATTTTTGGATTGACGGTTGGAAGCTCATTTGTCACATTAAACTGCATATTTAGGTAATAAATATAATATTTAATAAGGGTTAAATATTAAACATCTAGGACATACATAATGTCATATTGAAGACTACAAGAAATAATCGTCAATGATTGATTTTCTTTACAGGAAGTTGTTCTTCAGTCAATTCAGCTACTATACTACAGTTTTGTTGCCTTGTACCATTAGTGGGCTAGCTGTTTACTTCGAACCTCCTTATAGAAGAGTGTTAGTGGCCAACCTCTTTGTAAACTTGGTAAGTTAACAGTAAGCTGTCTGGCACACGACACTAAGGGCCAGGCCACACTGGCAGATTCAAAGCCTAACGGCCACGCAGCGAACACGCGGCGAAGTAGTCGCGGCTGTGCAGTGAATACGTTGCGGACGCGCAAAGATTTTGGCGCGGAGAGAAGCGTGGATACAATCGAAGCCCCTTCTTCGAAGTAACAAAGCTAACAGCAGTGTATTTCCAAGTCGAAATCCATTCTATCGAGTGTATCGTACGCTGCTCATTCAAGGCGGAAATGTTGCGCGTCCGCAACGTGTTCGCCACGCAGCCGCGTCGTCTTCGACGCGCACACGCGGCGTGTTCGCAGCGTGGCCGCTCCGCTTTGACAACGCTTGCAGTCCGCCAGTGTGCACTCATAAGAGGGCAAAGCTCCTCCCTAAAACAAAAAGGAGTTATAATAACTGATTTAATTTTAACAGGTATTTGAATATTGGCTTCGTACATTAGAAATGAAGGGATGGTTGCGGCGATCACCTGGGAAAGAGACACTCATCTTTATGATGGGAAGTGCCATCTTTTTCTATTTACTCAGGCTTGACAGAGAAAATGAGAAACGGACGCCACTATTCTGGTATGTGTTACTGAAACTATGTTATGAAGATTTGTATTTGTAATTTCTTACTTTATAGCAATTTATTTGTTTTAAAGGTTCTTCACCCCACCACGAGTTTCGAAAGAAGTCGGAAAGCCAATGACTGGTATCGAAGGAAAAAGTCCTGCCTGCCCTCACAGTGAACCTTGCATTAATTATATATTGAAGGTTTTTATTTATTCACAAAGTAAATAGCTGTGCGTAGTAAACCCAATAAATTAGACTGCTTTTATCTAGCGAGTGACAGAACCTTACTCGCCAGTGCCACTGGTGAGCGCAAATAGGTACAATAGCGTCTTGAAGCTTAAGGATTTGTAACAAGAGCTATTATTTTTACTAAAAATTGTTGATACTAAGTCTTTAAAATGTTTCAGGGGACAGCCCAACTGTTCGGCGTCGGCTGTGCGATGACGATAGTCCGGACCATCCTGCCCAAAATCCTGACTCCGACTAAAGCTTTAAAGTCCCTGAAGATGTCTCATTTGAAACTGGGACTCTTCTTCGGTGGATACATCGGTATCTATAGGGTAAGATTTTTATTTCCGTTTCAATCAATTAGAAAATGATCTATTTCAAATCATGTGTGTCCATTCATATACCGGTCACAAACATGTGCACGAATGTCATGTTCTGTGCAAATATTTTGTTCCCATGCACGTTTAGCAAATATTTTGCAAAGAAGAACGACAGATTCATTGACGAGAACAAGATATCGCAACAGAACTCTCGAACTTATCGTTTGTGTGGGAGCAGTTAGCTAAAGACCTTTGGCTTAATTGTTTTTGTTTATTGTGATAGCCCAATAAAATAAATAAATAACTAGGTACTTTTCACACTTTAAAGTACAAATATTAGCACGTCACTACCTTGTTTAATATACCACGCAATCTTGTATACCCATTCTTATGATACACCATACAAGAATGCATGGTAAATTCAGTGACCTTCTCCTGAATCGAATGTCGAATCGAAAACTACTATTTCTATTTATTTATTTATATTAACCGGCAGACAGTGGTGACTGAGTTTGTTGCGGCGCTTCTTCTCAGCACTTGCCAAATGTTGGTCTCGAAGCGCTGGTAGGGTAAAAAGATTATGAGACATGTAGAGGCTCCTTAAGAGCATATGACGATTTGTAAGAACTGTTTATTAGTCTAAACAAATAAAGAAATTTTGACTTTGACTTTGACTTTGAATATTTGCAATTATGTCTCTGACCTGCATCATAATTAAGAAAATAACTTGTTTACAGTTAGTAGTGTGTCTGCTGTGCCGGTCGCAAGGCAGAGATAGCGCGCTATACGCTCTGCCCGCGGGTTTCCTCGCCGGGGCTGCCTTCAGGGCGTCTCCTTCGACAGCAATTTCAATAGGACCGATTACTTCTGCATTGCAGGTATGTATTCCAGGTATTTATTTATATAAAGCTAACTTGATAAATGCAGAATGACATGTACAGTTATGATGAGTATGTATAAGGTAGGTGACCTGACCTAACGCCAGCAGTCAATTTGCATACATATTTAGTCTAGTTTGTGAAATCAACCATCTATTTACTGATTTTAAAGCTATTAAAATATGAATTTAAGTAGCGAAACCTTAATGTACTTGTAGATGTAACAAATAAAAAAAAATGTTTATTCAGTAAGGCCCAAGATGACCAGGGCACTTATACACGTCTCAAAAATAGCTTTCCCTACCACCGCTTCGGGACAACATATGGGCTGGTGCTGAAGAATTAGGACAAAACATTCATGTGCCTTTTGCAGTGGTGATTAAATGACCTGATGATGATGACACAATTTGTTGATATTGTATTGATATTCCCAACAGATCCTCGGCTCATGGGGCTATCGCAACGGCACCATCCCGGCTCACTGGCCGCTAGTCGAGCTGTTATACTGCGTGTGCCAAGGACTGTTGTTCCACGCACGGGTCATGCATGAAGACGTCTGCCCTCGTTATATCATCAACCTTATCTCCACCGTCACCAGCACTAAGTGAGTAACTAGCGAATACGGGACTTTTCCCACCTCTCGTTCACACCGCTGCAACTCTTGTGCAGCCAGGATCTACAGCTTGACCGTCAATAAAAACCCAACTAGTCACGGTCAAGTTTGTCCCGGGGGAATGTTAAACTGTCCCGCAATTAGACCCGCAACGAAATTAATCAGAAGAACATAGGAGTTCGAAGTTAAGGTTCGACTTCCCTCCATTGCAAAGCGGATGACAGGCGACAAACAATAACCTTTATGAAAAGATATGCATCACGGACAATAAACATCAAATAACGGGACCTATATTATGAGCTTTTAGCTACCTGCCAATAATATAACTAGCGAATAGCAGAATAAATAAATATCCTTGAATATTTTTTGCACCTCGCTATGCAAACCACCTTTTTTTCAAGCGCCATTGACGCGAATAGATGAATTAATTGCAATAAGATCGCTAAACATCGCGCCTTCCATTTGTATGAAATGCACGTCGACGGAGCCCGAAAAACCGTAAATACCATAATGTATATGTAGACAGAGACACGTAGGCCAATACAAACACATAAGTTGATGTACAAATATTTGTGAAGATTGACGTTGTAGCACCGTCACATAGATCATATTAGGTGAAAATTACTAGTGAGTAGGCACTAGATTATTACTACCTATTTCAGAATATTTATAGACTAGGTATTGTTTCTCTTATTTATACATATTTTTTGAAGAAAAAACCACTGAGTATGTACATATTTTATGCTTCACCTCTTCTAAACCTTTCCTCTTTTTCACAAATAGACAAACTTATGTAATTCATTTGCGTATGCTGTGCGCAAATTATACGATAGCCTTCCTTGTTGTGATGTGGAGATTTAGTTAAGTTAGTTGTAAATATTTAAATGTATTTTTGCTTCTTTTTCAGAGCGGACCTTATCCAGACTAATTTCATCGAGAAGCTGGCTAAGAAAGCCCTATGATACTTGTGAACATAACTGATGATACGGTAGTAAGTAGGTACTTTTATGTTCCGATTCTGTGATTATTATTTAGATTTTATTTGGCACGGGGACTATATGAGGTGGGCTTTTCTTATGATGTTGGTTGGCACGGGGACAATATGAGGTGGGGTATTCTTATGATGTTGGTGGTTATTTTTAAGTTATATAGAACAATGTAATGACCTGTGAAACTACAATAATCACAATGACTGAGCAGACCCTATGCAAGGCTAGTTTTCAAAGCAGAGTCTGGAGAATTTGGTACTTGTGGTTAATTTGGTACTTTTCCAGTGACTGAAAACAAAATGTGCGCGTACGCTATTTACAATGGTATAGTTTTCTTTATTTTTTATTATTTGAAAATGATTTTCCAAATGAAAATGTATATATTGGTCGTTAAATTCCTGTTACAATTATTAGGGAAGGAAACCATGGATTTGAATAGGATTTGCCTTAATCAAATAGCGATTGCAAGCCTTAATTAATGAATTGCTTATTTATTAATAAATTATGAACGTTAAGTATTGTGAATGCATTTTATCATTGAAACAGTAGTTCAAAGTAATGTATAAAATCCTTTATGTACAAATTGATGCTTTGATTTGATTAGAATGAACAAAAATGGGATAAATATAGGGGGTAGTATAAGTATTAAGTTATATTAGGCATTAAAATTTTAAATCACAATTGTGTTTTATGATAGCTAATTTTGCGGTACTATTTTAAAATATACTCGTACTTGGTATTGATGAGGTAGAAAGAATTTGAAAATTATAAATAACTTGAAAAAATTTTTAGATGTAGGGTAGGTATACTTAACATTGATGAAACAAACGCTGGCCGTAACAGCGTATTACACTTGAAAATTTCGACGGGTTCATCCAGTGTCTAAGTAGCTCAGTTGGAAGAGCAGTCGCCCGGCAAGCGGAAGGTCGTGGGTTCAATTCCCGCCTTAGGCAGTTCGATTTTTTCAAGTTATTTATAATTTTCAAATTAGTTTGAGATGCGACTCTAAACGCAAAAAAAAAATTAATAACGAGGTAGAAAGAAATTGAAAGTATCATACCATGACAAAAATGTATGTTAATAAAATATACATTTCACAGTTTTAGTAGGTAACAGTCAGCGTCAAATAATTCATGACACCCAAAGTATAGATTGTTTCATCAGGCCTGTTCATCTCCGCGAGTTTACATCGAAAACAAAACACGCACGATGGCCCACCTACAGGATACTATTCGACAAGGCCTCACATACGAGCGAACATTGACTCACGCACGCGTATTCTTGTGTATGATGGAAGAAAATAAAGAAAATGGTGTAATAAATACTGTGGAGTATTTAACTGCCTAAATAATAATAAAAACACAGAATGTACTTTTTTAAGTTGCCTCAAGTAGAGATGAAACGGATATCCGGCAACTATCCGGTAGGCCGGATATCCGGCCTAAATTTACTATCCGGCCGGATACCGGATAGTAACTCACTATCCGGCCGGATACCGAATATTAAAAAACTACAACAATTTCCTATGAATGAAATGAAATACTTTAATCTTAGAGGTAAACATCAATAAAATGGCTTATAATAATGACGGCTTTTATTTAAAGTCCAAAAAGAAAGTTACAAAAAGCCATATATTAAGGCCCTTAAAAAAACTAATTTCTTTTTCTGGGCTATTCACTCTAATGACGAATACATAAATAGTAAATATACAGGGTGGCCAAAACAGTGAGGTCTAAAAGAAAAAATTAGATTCCTTACATCAAGGTGTATCTAAATCACCCCCATGTGTATTATACGATTTTGCTTAGTTTAGGAGATAGAGTTTTTGTGATATTTTAAAATTCTATGACCTAGTAGGCTTTAAAAAAAATTATCTTATTTTTGGGTTGATTTTTCTCAGATTTCTTTTTTTTTGACAGATTCGTTATTAATTGCAGATATTTGAAAAAAATAATCACCTTCCTATCTCTGATGCAAGATACAAAAGTTTTGATAGAAACATTAAAATTATGCATTTAGCAGAACACTAACAAATTTTCAACTTAAAAGTTTAAGTAAAAAAAAATATTATTCCGAAATAATAGGATTCCCAATATTAATTCACTCTAAGAAAGGAAACATGTAACGGAATCTCCGACTTACTACTTTAGTGGAGCGATTACAGGAAATAGTGGCCCATTAAGTACATGTTTTTTTGTATTATTATGAATGTTCAGGAAACGGCGCAGTTTTTGAAATGGTTTTGAACCTATGGAAGTAATTTTTTTTTTACTTAAACTTTTAAGTTGAAAGTTTGACAGTGTTCTGCTAAAAGCATAATTTTAATGTTTCTAGCAAAACTTTTGTATCTTGCATGAAAGATAGGAGAGTGATTATTTTTTCAAATATCTGCAATTAATAACGAATCTGTAAAAAAAAGAAATCTGAGAAAAATCAACCCAAAATAAAGATAAAAATTTTTAAACCCTACTAGGTCATAGAATTTTAAAATATCACAAAATTAACTCTATCTCCTAAACTAAGCAAAATCGTATTATACCTACACATGGGGGTGATTTAGATACACCTTGATGTAAGGAATCTAAATTTTTCTTTTAGACCTCCCTGTTTTGGCCACCCTGTATGTTAAGTAAAAATATTGCCAAATAAAATAGGCCACCCTGTATGTTAAGTAAAAATATTGCCAAATAAAATAGGCGATCATTTTTCACTGATGGTCTGATGTCATGATGATGCAGTTCGGTCAGATTACGCAGCAAGTAAACGAATCACACACTCACGAAGGCAACCGAAATCGCCCGAATTTATCTGCCCCCTAGACAAGTGGCAAAATCTGACATTCTATTCGGACTGATTCGATTTTCGAAAAGTGTGACTAGTCTAGTCTACTAATAGACCCACTGATCGCGTTCGAAGCACCTGTGCGGCGCTAAACTCGTCACGACATGCAACGAGACAATGGGCCAACTATCCGGCCGCCGGATATCCGGCTATCCGGCCTAGCAGCTGGCCGGATATCCGGTATCCGGTATCCGGCCAAACTACTATCCGTTTCATCTCTAGCCTCAAGACACTGAGAGGTAAATAAGTAGTTAATATTATTCATGATAATTCATGCTATAGNTGAGCATAATTTTTTTTAAATAGGTACCTTCGCGAAGTAAAACTTCTGTACGTATTACTTATTATTATTCTGTGGTTTCATCCACGAAGACACGCTCCACCAATTTTAGGTCGAGGGAAGCACGGGGTGCGGGGAGTTTAATCCGAGCAATCCGAGCGTCATTATTGTAGTGTGCGTGTGCATAATTTAGCGTGTACCGATAACACTAAAACATTAGCGGAAGAATGGTGGGGCGCGTCTTGGTGGATGAAACGATCTATAGCCAAACAGTTTTCCACACGTCTTTATTACAAACTAGCTGACCCGGCGAACTTTGTTCCGCCTTAATGGCAATAAATAAGCAGACTTTTTTTTTATTTCGAACGGGATAAAAAGTATCCTATGTCCTTCTCCTGGCTCTAAACTACCTCCCTGACAATTTTCAGCTAAATCGGTTCAGCCGTTCTTGAGTTATAAGTGGAGTAACTAACACGACTTTCTTTTAATAATAGATTGGGGGTTGTACACTTTTTGGCCACTTTGGGAGTCACGAACTATTTGACACTGACTACTCATAAGAAGTTAGTGTTGCCACAAAAATATTTTTTAATAGTAACACTTTGCCATAAACAAATACACAAAGCTAGTATTTAATCATAAAGCAAACACACATCGAATTAGTTGTTAGATCAAATTAATTGTATGTTATAAATAATAAATTCTGCTATGTTTATAGCCACTTCCATTATTAAGGTGTTTGTATTTAAAGACTATTTTGAAGTAGATAGTAAAAGTTACCTATTGGATGTTTAGTGGAATAAATTAATTCCTTAATCTTGAGTATTGTTTTATGGGAAGTTTAATGTAATTAATCATGATGTTAAAATTCTTTTCTACTGCGTGGAAAGGTATTGTCAGTGTAATTATGGTGTGTAAGTGAAAGGTTGGCAATAATAATTTAAAATATTTAAGTCAGATTTTGATCTATCAAATCAAGGTGTGACTTCATTCACTGTCGGATAATCTGTTAAGATGTCGTGTCGTTTTAAAAAACTACTAAATATTTAAGTTTTGCCAGTCTGTCCCTTACACCCTACAAGTTAGAAAAAAAAAAAGATTTGAATAAGTAGGTGTGAAGAATTGTTATTATTTCTTATATTGCCTGGAATTTCCTTTTATTACATTCAGATATTAAATGGCACGATTTTGAAGTTTTTCCTAATGCAGGCATAATCGACAAGAATTAACACAAATCTTTTCGTTCAAGTTAGCATATCTTATGTATGGTTTATTTATAAGTGAATATTATTATAATAAAAGTGTGTGTCATTTTTTATGGTAAATATTTATTTAGGGAGTGCACTGCGATTTGTAGAATTATACTGAAACTTTTGCTTTTTTGTGAATAAAAAAGACCTAAATACAGGCTGTCGATAGAATGTAACTATATTGTGTTTTTGTTATTTATTTGTAAAAAAAAATCCTTGCGATGCTGATCTGATTCTTGGTTATATTTGACAGCTTGTTACTATCCTTTTTTATTTACTAAGGAGGAAAGGAGACACATTCGACTCTTAAAAATGATAAAATTCGAGATTAAAACATTTTCAGATATAAAACCTATGTAAAATATAAAATTTAAAATAGGTAACATATGCACAATTAGTTTTTTTTTAGCTTTAGTCACCAAATATTTAATGCTCGGACATATTGTTATATTTTTGTAATAAATAATTTTATAAAATATTTGTGTTTTTGTTTCATAAAATAAAACAATATGTAGTTTTGTGTTATAATATATTTTGTATTTCATAATTAGATTGATAAATCTGGACGCATAAAAATTTATATAAAATTTGTAGAAAATCTTGTGAGGTTAAAAACTGTTTCAATTTGAATTTCAATGGCAGCTCGTCAGGATCAAAACGACGCTTGTGGTCTAGTTTTAGGTATATTTTTTATTTGCGTCGATACCTTTAACTTTAACCTTCGATACTCCAAGTCTACTTCTTCAGGTCCCTTAAAACAGGCTTAGCTCAACTATGATCACCATCGCCTAAAACGTTGAGTTTCATCGTCGCAGGCTGACAAATCTTGGAAACCTTCGACTGAGAGTGAATCTAGTCGTTGCAATATTAAATTCAGCATATCTTTCATATCTTAGTCCTTCTTCGACTCAGGCAGCTAGAGCCTCCTCAATGCTCCATGCAGTTTCATCATAGCGGGCTGGCAAATTTTCTAAGCCTTTGATATGCCAAGATTTATTGTTGCAATTCAGCATTATCTTTAATGTCTCAGTCCAATTCCCGACTCTAGGCCACTCTGACCCTGGTAGCAGAATCTTCTCCACCTAATGTAGCTTCATCATCGCTGGCTGGTAGATTTTACGAGTCTGTCTTACCACGATTAGTTGTTGCTACGCAGAAAATCTCATATAATATCTTAATCCAATTCTTCAACTCTAGGCTTCCCTGGTCGAGCACAGCTAGGGCCACCTGCTCCCAATGCTCCATGCAGCTTCATCATTGCTGGCTAGCAGATCTCTTATGAGCCCTTGACACGCCTAGACCAGGGAATCGAGTCGCTGCAATTTGCGTCAGCAAATCTGTTAAAACTTAGTCCAATTCTTCGACTCTTGGCCCCACTGACCCTGGTCGAGCACAGCTAGGGCCACCTCCTCCCAATGCTCCATGCAGCTTCATCATCGCTGGCTGGCAGATTTTCTGAGCCCGTTGCAGCCGTGTCTCCAGTTCCGCCTTGGACGCGTCAGGGTTGCTCTCAAGCCAGTGGAGCTGGTCGTTGCACTCGTTGAGCACGGCTGTTCTTTCTTCGTTTGTCAGCCGGCTGCTTGCGTTTTCCGCTGCCTGTTGAGTTAAGGATGGTTAAAATTTCTACGTAATGCTTTTAGAATATTCCAGACTCGATTGAGACCGTTCAAGGCATTTCTGTGCTTCAGAGATCAAGATGAGCTGTCCATTTTAGCAATTGGCAGCTCTTTAACGGGCAATATTAACGTGTCATTAACTGGATTAAAATGTAACAGTATTAAATGTTTTGTTTACCTACACCACTTACCGTTTTACATCCAAATAAATAGCCCTCCAGCTGATTCCTAACTTCGACTTTCTTCCGAATAGCTTCGTCTTCTGACTTGAACTTCTCGGCTTCGTTGAGCATTTTCTCAATCTCCTTTTTACTGAGACGACCTTTGTCATTGGAGATGGTTATCTGTTCTGATCGGCCTGTACTTTTGTCTTGAGCGCTCACGTTTAAAATACCATTGGCATCTATGTCGAAAGTTACCTGAAACCACCAAGAAGTTTTAAACTTTAGAACGAGTTCCTATAAATATGTCTATGGCGCAATGAGTGTGAGATTCAAACCTCAATTTGTGGGATTCCTCTTGGAGCAGGTGGTATTCCAGTCAAGTTAAACGTGCCGAGCAAATTGTTGTCTTTCGTCATTGCTCTTTCACCTTCATAAATCTGCAGATAACCAATAAGATTGTCAAAACAGGTTGTCTAGTTTCATTTGTAGATGGGAAAAAGTCCAAGTTTATTATTTACCTGAATTGTCACTGCAGGTTGATTGTCGGCATACGTGCTAAACACTTGTTTCTGTGCAGTAGGTATTCTCGTGTTTCTTTCCACCAAACGCGTCATGACCCCTCCAGCGGTTTCAATCCCAAGAGACAGTGGGGTCACATCCACTAATAGGACATCTTGTATTCGCGTGTCTTTAGAGCCAGTCAGAATAGCAGCCTGGACAGCTGCGCCGTAGGCAACTGCTTCGTCAGGGTTAATAGACAAGTTAAGCGTTTTGCCGCTGAAGAACTCCTGAAATACATTACTCCAGGTTTTAACGTGATACGCCGATAGGTAACATTAATTCAATTATGTAACGCGAAAGTTTAAAATTAACTATACATTACTCCATTTAATACAAATTGAAACCCTGAAAACTTATTCGCTAATATCAAAAATTATTTTATACCTGCAACAGCCTCTGTATTTTAGGAATACGTGTTGAACCACCGACCATAACAACATCGTGTATTTCTCTAGTATTTAGGCTTGCATCTTTTAGAGCTCTTTCAACTGGCCCGAGCGTCTGCCTGAACAAGTCGGAGCACATCTCTTCGAAGCGAGCTCTTGTGATTTTAGAGTAGAAATCTATACCGTCGTGCAATGCGTCTATTTCTAAACTGGCTTCAGTGCTGGACGAAAGAGTTCTCTTGGCCCTTTCGCAAGCCGTTCGAAGTCTTCTGAGAGCTTTTGGATTCTCCTTAATATTTTTCTTGTACTTCTTCTCAAATTCTTGAGCAAAATGATCCACCATTCTGCAATCAAAATCCTCGCCGCCCAAATGAGTGTCTCCTGCTGTTGACCGCACTTCGAATAATGAACCTTCAGCTATTTGGAGAATTGAGACATCAAATGTGCCCCCTCCAAGGTCAAATATGAGAACATTTTTGTCTCCTTTCAAGTCTTTATCCAAACCATAAGCAAGAGCAGCAGCAGTGGGTTCGTTGATGATCCTCAGAACGTTCAGAGCTGCAATCACTCCTGCATCTTTAGTTGCTTGACGCTGAGAATCATTGAAGTAAGCTGGCACTGTAATAACAGCGTCTTTTACTGTTCCCCCAAGATACATTTCAGCTGTTTCTTTCATCTTTGTCAGAATCATAGAAGATATTTCTTCAGGGGTGAATCTTCGTTTTTGATTTTTGTAGTCCACTAATATTTTTGGTCTTCCGCCTTCTGAAACTACTTCGAATGGCCAGTTCCTGATGTCTTGCTGGACCTTTGGGTCGTCAAATTTTCGCCCTATTAGTCTTTTAGCATCAAAAACGGTGTTTTTGGGGTTCATAGCTGCCTGTAAAATGGAATATGGAAATGTATAATATCCTCAAATTGAAAAACTATCATGTTGTTTTGAGGGTTCTGTTAAGTATTCTCAGAAAATCTACCAGAACTTTTAGTGTTATTGTTACAATTAGTTTTGTTAAAGTGCCCTCGAAGATAATAATGAAGTTTTAATAGTTCCGTTAACGATCGCTCTACATTTTAGTTTTGAAGACGAAACTATGTTCCAACAGATCCTACTACCTACTTCAAAGGGCGTTTCAATTTTGATGCTGAAACTTTATAATCGTGCTTCAACTCGAAACTTGTTTCTTACCTAAACGAAGTCTTTGTTTGATGCATTTTGTACGCAGAGGTTCCATGTAAAAGCTTTGTTTGTTCAAAAGTTTTGTAACCTTACAAAACCTTTTTGGATAGAAGAAGAGCCAACAAAAGTAAAGTTAACTAATAGGTAACGGTTTTCATGTGAGTAAAATGCCTGTAGCACCGCACCTACTTAACCCTCGCTGTACGAGGTGGGGTGTGACACACCCCAGTCCTTTAAAAATAGCCACAATTTTAAAAATTTGCAAGTGCTGAATTTGAAATTCTCAGTAGCTGGAATTATGACACTGCTGCTTCGATCACCGTTGCAAAATCAGTCCAGCGGTGACTACCAACTGAGTTACATGCCTTTAAAGTGCGTGTGGGTGTCACACACCCCACCTGGTACGGGACGTTGTTAAAAAGTTTAAAAAAAAATCTAACAGTTTTGGTGTAAATTATATATTTTTAGCTTTGTCAATTGAATAAAATTCAATACAAACATTATTTTTCGTGATTTTCACGAAATCTGAAATTTTCAAGCACTTTTAATCAAAGGAGATGACTTTTAGTGAGAATTTGGAAGTTTGGTACTGAGATCTGAAGATGTATGTGACATACACTTATGGGCTACAATTTATACTTGGTGATACAATTTATGGGTTATTGAAATGGAATAACATATTTTTTAAATAAATAAAATTGTTACGCTCCCATTTTATGCATTGAACATACTCATTTTCTTTCATCAGAATTGTGGTATATTGAAAACCGATGATCATAACAAATTTATACCCTTCCAGTTTTTAATTTACTTTTAAATTATAAGTAAATACTTGTTCTTTGTTAAATAAAAGCGGTTGTCATAATTAAAGGCACTAATTAAAAATTATACATAGGAAACTGATTCCTAAATTACAAGAACAACGGAAATTGTGTCTTTTTGTTTTTATATGATAAAAATGTTATAATACATATTTTCAGCTCAGAGCATTTCTTAAACCTAATTAGTATACGTAAATAATCAATATTAAATATTAAATTCCACCTACAAAAATGTTGAATGAAAATTTTATCACTTTGTTTATTGGGGTGTGTCATACCCCACCTGGTACGGGACGTAACTTTTAGTCACCTCGTACACGGAGGGTTAAAGTAAGTATGTGAGCAAAGTTAAGCTTCTTAATTTCATAGAAATCCTGAGATTTTTAGGCTAAGACCTATGTTTCGGGATTAATTTGGACGACTTGATAAAGGTAGCGGGAAGGCGCTGGATGCAGGCCGCTACCAACCGTGCGATGTGGAAGTCATCGGAGGAGGCCTATGTTCAGCAGAGGACGTCCTGTGGCTGAAATGATGATGATGAAGCACTTGCCTGGTTCTTAGCTGCGTCTCCGATCAGCCTCTCAGTATCAGTGAAGGCGACATACGAAGGCGTGGTTCTGTTGCCCTGGTCGTTGGCGATGATCTCCACCTTGCTGTGCTGGAACACGCCCACGCACGAGTACGTCGTGCCTAGGTCTATGCCCACTGCTGGGACCGCCATTTTGGTTCGTCAGGCGCTACCGGAAAATGGCAGGAGTATGAAGCCTCACCTCATGGTAGTAGGAATAAAAAAAAACTAGTACCTACTAGTATAAAATACTTAGTTCGAGCTACGAGAGTAAACAACACATCTGGTTCTTTTCACAAAATAATTATCCTAAACATTTTTGTGTAGGTATAACTTTTGAGATGTTAAAAGATTCAGAGTTTACGAAGCCGTAGGATACTTTAAAATTTTCTGGTTTACCTTGAAGGGAAATTAATGAGATGTGCTTGAGGAAGCGGGCGTCAAAGCTGAGACTTCAAAGTCTTTTACACTAAAGAAACTCTTAAAATTGTAATTTGTTACCAACCTGAGATATTCTGGACTCACTTCTCTTTTAATTTTAACGTACATGTTGAGATTTTTACCTAAAATTTTATTTTACATGTTGATGTTGTATTTATGTCATTGTTTTTGACATAATCATTTTTGTCACCAATAGTTTTCTTTAAAACTGTAAAAGTGTAAATACTTTTTCCGTACAAAAAATAAAATTTTGCCCTCAAGAATAGGCGTCCAATGTGCGTCCCCAGATATTAAGTCCCCAGAACGCTACGGCTATTAAATTAATCAATTTATAAGGGCTAACACATAGGCTGCTTATACCTGGACAATCAAGCCATCAAGGACAATAGAACACTGGTATGATATAATTACCTTAAAAAAAAACACAACGTTTAAACTTTTACTATTTTAACAATATTGAAGAACTAACACAACATGATACATCTATAAAACAAATGACTTCAATTTAAGATTATTATCGCTTTCCCTTCTTCTTCTTTTTCGTAAAGTCTGGCGGGTGGAATCCTCTAGCTGCCAGTAGCTCTTGGACATTATGGCAGGCGTAGTAAACGTTGTCCATGGCTGCTTCAGTCAACATATCAACGTTGCACCGCCCTTTGGACTTGCCCTTCTTCCCCCTACCTCCTTTTTTCGCCTTTTTCTCGTCCCCACCTTCTTCTTTCTTCTCCTTTTTCTTTCCTTTTCCTTTGCCGGGCATTATGAATGCGAAATTATGTGGATTTTTGCTTTTCAGTGTTTGGTTGTTGCCGTGGAGATTGTCGTTAGGTGTTATTGATCACACACTGGTGTGTTAATAATTACAAATTATGTAAGGTATTGTATAGCTAGCTCTTAATTATTCTAGATAGGTACTGTACATGTGGATTCAATAATGGTTATGAGAAATTAAATACCGTTTTAATAGGTAACATACTTAGTTAATTGATTAGCGTAAAGCTGCTGGGTGCCAACCAATGTTATGGCTAAGTCATCGTACAATTTATTTATTTGTACAAATTAAGTACCTGTCTATTGATGTTTAATTATTTTTAACAACCTTTCAATCAAATTGAAAATGAAAAAATGAAAATGAAATATGAAATTATGGAACACGAAAGTTTAAAAAATAATTATTGATGTTTATCCGTATTTTAAAAGTCACCATAGTAGGTACTAGCCCTTCTCGGTTTAGGCCGTAAATTGGAACGTGGCGGACTGGAACAGTATTATTAGACACCTCGTTATATTACAGAACAAAAATAGTGCTGTTAGTTTTAAATAATTTAGGGCATATTTCCTAGCGACGTGTCTTTGGTTATTGGGCAAATGAAAGTAGTTGTTCTAACATAGCAAGCCGTTAGTTTTATGTGATGCATATTATGTACATTACATTTTTAGAAAGTTAAAAAACTAATAATGTTTTGAACCAGAGCGTATCTCACAAAGTTTACTTTCCTTTCTTCTTCTTCTTATCAAATCCTGGCGCTTGATAGCCGCGTGCTTCAAGCAATTCTTGCACATTGTGGCACCCGTAGTACGCGTTGTCCATCGCCGCAGGACTTAGAATGTCCATCTCTTTGGACTTCTTTTTTCCTTTTTTGGCTCCATCATTGTCGTCGGCCATTTTTTATTTATTTAGCCAGGGATTTGCAGATTTAAGATAACAATTAAGTTTTTTTATGTACGAACTGTCTCGCTTAAGAGCGACATGCTAGTTTATTTGTAGACTTCACTGTTCTTAGGATTAGTTCTTCTACAGATAAGATAAATAAATTTTGAGTTCCACCACTCTTAGAAGTCCTGAACTGAACTGAGCTAAAGTAAATTTCCCAATGCAGTTCTAGATAGGTACCTATATAGTTGCAAGATATTTATAGGTTGCATTTCGAGTAGTACTTAACTATCATAACTAATTACCTAAGAACTTTAGACGCAATTTGATTTTAGTTCAGTTCGAGCAAAATTACTGAGAACAGCGTCAATAAACTTCTATATTTAGTTAGCAACGGGATATTGAATGAAAGGGTTATTAGGTAATACAAATTATTTAGCCACTGAAAGTCTCTGTAGTTAGTTTGATGCAAATAAAATGCAACTATTACTAAAATATATTTACTTATTTACATTGAAATACATTACATATCATAAGTATTATAATTACATTAGACGATAATACACATTTGGCTGAAAAAGTTTTTGACATTGTTAGTTTCAGCAACACGTTGGGCGCCACTTGATAGACTTTTTTATCACCTTAATTATTGGCACATTAGCGTAAAATACATAGTTACATTAAATGCAGTGTTAGTAAAGAGTTTTATTTACTTATAGCCTCTTCCCATCGGTGGCTTTAAAGCCAAACTTGTACACTCCATCAGTTAATTTTCCGTTAATTAATTAGAAACTTCCGTACGTAGTAATTTTCGTAGAGACAGTCGCCAGCACACCAGATATACACTTTTGTCGAAAGTCGACCCTGTTACAACTATGTAAGATACAAAATCTTTCAGCTTGATGTGCCGACATTCGTTCTTCTGTACATAGAAGGATCATTTGATATTGTACAACGGTTCCCTAAGGATGTGCTCGACTTCTTTCCGGTGCAGAACGGAGGCGCCGACGGCCGGCGTCGGGGCTTCGGACCGCCCCGCGTATTGCAACTGAAAATAATTAACTTATGTATTTACTTCTAATCCATTTATAATAAGCTAATGTTTCCCCAGTCAGTGGGGAATACCATTATAATTTATTTAAAGCAAAGCGATCTGGGACACTTAGGGTCAACCCTTTATCTTAGTAAGTTGTCTTCAGCTATTCTAAAATGAATTTATAGTCGAAGAAATTTGCATAAAATTCATATTCCACTTAGGATATGCTCTGCTTTGTTTCCTTGATTAATGATGAGTATTTTATACTGAAGATATTACTACAATAAGTATACGAACCTTTCTTCCCAGTAAGTTTTCAAATCTTGGTTTAACAAATGTCCAGGCGCCCATATTTCTGTGTTCTTCTTGGCTCCATATGAATTCTGTAATGAATTTTGGTTTCAATTTTATTCCAGTCCGGTCTGAAGTAGGTACTCCAACTTAGCTACTATCAGTCGAAATTTAAAGATCTCTAAAGGAGTCCAACAAAAACCTCAGGGAATACTCTACGTAGCCCGGTCATGAAATATTTATGAGGCGTAATAACTGAACGTTATAGCTGTTTGAAGAATGGCTCTACATATTTTATTATCGGCTCAGTTGGTTGCGACCCATCTTTTAAATGAATGAAAAGTTATCGCCATCATTTCAGCCAAGGTTTTATCCACCTTCTGATCGAAAGCATCAAGGGACTCTACATATGACCTGCCGCTTTTTTTTCCAGCTGCTACCAGCTAACTTCTTACATATCTGCAGAGAAAGGTATGACAGTCTTCAAACTTACTTCTAGCATTAGGGTATTTCTCCAGCTCCTTCTGCAGGCCCTGTAGAGGGAAGGGGCTTAGGGCTTCCACCCTCACGATCGCGACGTCCTCAATGCCTACCTTCACTTAGCAAACAGCCCTCCATTAATGGATGACAAGGAACGAAAATCACGATTTCCTGCTTATTCTCCCAGCCGCTGCCAGCTATCTTATTTATCATCATCATCATCATTTCAGCCATAGGATGTCCATTGCTGAACATAGGCCTCCCCCAATGATTTCCATGTTGATCGATTGGTAGCGACCTGCGTCCAGGGCCTTCCTGCTACTTTTATGATGTCGTCGGTCCACCTTGTGGGTGGACGTCTCATGCTGCGTTTTCCGGTACGCAGACTCCACTCCAGAACCTTGCTGCCATATCGGTTGTCAGTTCTGCGTACTATGTGCCCTACCCATTGCCACTTAATTGCTTATCTTCTTTATATCTGCAGAGAAAAGTATGACGGTCTTCAAACTTACTTCTAGCATTAGGGTATTTCTCCAGCTCCTTCTGCAGGCCCTGTAGAGGAAAGGGGCTGAGGGCATCCACCGTCACGATAGCGACGTCCTCAATGCCTACCTCACTTAGCTAACAGCCGTCCATTACTGGATGACAAGGTACGAAAATCACGATCTCCTGCTTATTATAACGGTCTTCAAACTTACTTCTAGCATTAGGGTATTTCTCCAGCTCCTTCTGCAGGCCCTGTAGAGGGAAGGGGCTAAGGGCCTCCACCCTCACGATAGCGACGTCCTCGATGCCTGCCTTCACTCTCTCTTTGTGCAATTCATAGTAGTGCTTCCCGCAAACAAGTATCACTCTTCTAACTTTAAGAGGGTCTGCTAGTTTGTCCCCTGGAATTTATAACTTTGTTATATGATTTTATTTCGGATTTAATGAAATGCTAACAATAGGGATGTTTCCTGGGTAAAAAAGTAACAGTTTCAATTAGTCCGTCAGTTAGCTTATCAAAAACCACTCGACACGCATTTTTCACTTTTTAAAAGTAATGAAAATGTAAAGAGATAAAGCGTGGCAAAGTTCTAAAGAAAAGGCTCGTGACGTAACGTAAAAGTGCAGCACTTTGTGACGTCGCGCGGAACTTCAACGCACTAGAACTTTGTTTGATTTGTTTGATTAATTATTTGTTTGATTGATAATCAAAAATATATGTGTCCAATATTTTTTTATATTAAAATTGAGGGACTAAAAAAATTTTTTTAGGAAACTAGCCTAATAAATCATCATAAATAAAAATCACAAAAACAATATTGTATCAATTAATAGCGCATACTACTACATATACCTATTTCACAATAGAGATAAGTTCCAAGTGTTTCCTTTTAGATAATCTCGAAACTTAATTAACGTTAGATACTAGACTTTAAAATTGGCTAGGATTTGCAGAATTCTCTGCACACTCATTATTAGAAACTTAGTTCGCCTTTGTCTCTACTCTTGAGGGTTTCCCAGTATTCCGGAATACATAGAATAAGCAAGAATAAATATTAATTATTTATGTAAATACATTGCCTTCCAAAGTTGGAAACCAATTTCATAGCAGTAGTTAATTCGGCCGCTGAAATGATATTAAGCTTATCGAAGCGACAAAATTGACAATTTGGACGTTATCACAGTCGTATATCCTGGGATCGACCCCTTTGCGCAAATCAGCGAGCGTAGGGATTTATGATAGCTCAGTGTTTAATAATATTAACATTTATGAATAAAGATTACGATAAGTGAAACAATTGGAATAATTACGAGTTTCTAAACAGATGATAAACACTTTTCTTTTCTAATAAATCGATCTACATCGATAACATAAAGCGGTTTTCTTGGTAGTATTTGCCGACAATATTTGTACCAAGTTTTTAAATCCGGAGATACTAAGCCCATGTAAATAAGCAAATTTACTGAGGGAACTTAAATAAGTAAGTCCAATTTTGGCCGTGTTCGGTGAAGTATACCCCGAAAGTATTATATTGCTGAAGGAACTTCCTGAATACTATTTAGTATTCAGGAAGTTCCTTCAGCAATATAATACTTTCGGGGTATACTTCACCGAACACGGCCAAAATTGGACTACTAAATCTAGGGGGCAGCGTAAGGTGTTTTAAATCTTATGAGACACAGATAAAGTTTATTATTAGTTTGACTCTAGTTGGAGAAGCAATTATCTAATGAGACGCCTATCTTAGTTTTATAAGACCTCGGTTTCTAAGTTCTTTAAGTAGTTGTGAAGATTAAACAGAAGTTAGTAGGTGATTAATCCAGAAAACTAATTAAAGAATTTAGAGAAGCTAACAACTTTTGTTTCAAAGTCATTAGTTGCTTCAGTCAGATAATCAAATTTCGATTCGGTATAGTGTTAGGCCTCAGCCTCGAATGTAGCGGGCAGCGGCGCGGGAGCGGCAGCGGCGCGGGAGCGGGGCGGGCAAAGCAGACCCGTTCTCGAAACAAGCGGGCAGCTCGCGCGGCCCTTTAGCGGCGAAGTGTTGTGTTCGGGGTTGTGTTGTCGAGATATTTGTTTTTATTCCCAAACGAAATGTCTGAACAACGGCGACAATTTTATTTCGATTCAAATTTATTCCTAACGCTCGATTTATTGTGGGCAAAAGAAGGAGTGCGCTGCTCGCTCGTTGGCCGCTCCCGCGCCGCTGTTTTCGAGAACCGGTCTATTTGATTTTACGCATAAGATCCTGCCGCTCCCGCGCCGCTGCCGCCGCCGCCCCGCTGCCCGCTAAATTCGAGGCTGAGGCCTTATTGGTATTCTCATTCTTTACGATTATAGCGAAACGATCTCGAATCTTCTCTGGCGGTTAACTTACCAATGACTGGATGGAAGTGAGTGCCAGGTTCGAAGTCAGACAACGGTGAGACCGCATCAGCGAGACGTAGGAGCAATTTCGGGGCCACCACCACGAGTGGCTTTCTGTAGTTCCGCACCATCTGAAAGTATTCACAGGTTTCAGTAAGTTGTGTTTTTTAATTTTCAGACGTAGTCCAGTTAGAACACCCGTCCGAATAGCACCTGCATGAATAGCACCTAGCCTAGTCCACGAACAGTGTTGTGGGTGCTGTTCTTGGTTTATTAATTTTACACCAAAAGTACCAGGGCATCATAACCTTGCAGGAGGAGCTATTTGATGTTTTTTTTCTGGACAATAGAGAAAACTAACGTTCTATCTAACAAATACAAACCGCTGTCTATTAGGTTCTGTTTGTGGACTAGGCTAGGTCTATTCGGGCGGGTGCTCTAACTGGACTTCGTCAATTTTATTGGATTTTTATGTTTTTTTTATCCTATCCTAATCGTGATGTATTTTTGTCCGTACTCTGTATTTGCAGTGTGACATGCAATAGTAAGACGAGGAATTTTATTCCAAAAATACACACTTGCTCAAAGTTAGCTTTGCTATTCAATGAGAAAGTTAACGGACTTCGCCTGCAGTTAATTAGAAAACTAAGTTCAGCCGGTAAATGAAATACTCGTAGCTTCGAGAGAAATGTTCAAGCGAAATAAGTTTTGCTGCAGATCCTTAATTGTTTGCTTCTGTATTAATTTGTCCGGCTGTATTGAATTGTTTGAAAGTTTAATTTTGCATTCATCTCGGGTTCATTGGTAAGATAAATGAGGTCACGTTGTTCGTAAAAGCTGTGATAAAAGTCCGTAATTAGTATTATTAGGTAACTCGAATCAGCTCAACCCAAATGTAAACTGGTTGAGAATGCTTTAGGGCATTAAGTTAGCCTTATGTTCAAATTTATTTGGCATTAAAGTTTTAAATAAATAAATAACTTACTCGTAGTAATCTGTGCTATTAGATAGATTTTTATGAAGTCTACTTTTTGAAATACTGTCTAAACTTCTAATGGCAACATCTAATAAAGTTGATGAGGCACGGGCACAGCCATTGGTGCATGGGCTGTTAGAAATAATCCCCTCGCATCAATAATATAATTTATAATCGAAGCTTGAGCTCTACAAAACGTATTGCTGCAACAAGTTATACCTGTGCATCAGATGGGCGTTGATTGAAAACACGAGCTTTGCTGTTTAGCAAATAATACATTTTAAGTATTATTGCAACATGAAACTTACCTGTCTTCTCAACAAATGGAAGTACTGTGCCGGGGTGGTAGGGTTGGCTACGTGTAAGCAAACCGCTTCAGAATCCGGCGCAGACTCCAAACTATCCGTGAGCTGAAGAAACCGCTCCATTCTACAGGAGCTATGTTCTGACGCCGCTCCGTCGTACCCGTGGGGTAAGAGCATGACTAGGCCGTTGCTTCTGACCCACTTTGCTGGTAAAGTAACAAAAGAAACACGTTATCCAAAGTTTCGAATGTTGCCATCCCTCTCACGCAAAGCGAGATGTAAGCATGAGCGACGGTGACTTGAAACTATGTAAATAGCGTTTCGGAATACCCCTACACTGTAGGGGCTACAGGAACCTCTGGCCTCCCCAAAACCAGAGTAAATACAAATGAGTAGGTCATCTTCATAGAAACGCACCGAGCGCGGTTGTATGTAAGCGCACGCCAATACGTATGCGGCCCGCACGCACACACTGACAAAATTCGGGCTAACTCACCGCTAATCAACGCTAAATTTTGTCAGTGTGTGCGTGTGCGCCGCATACGTATTGGCGCGCTCACATGCAAACCGCGCTCGGGCGTTTCTATGAAGATGACCTACTCATTTATATTTACTCTGCCAAAACGAATAGCCAATGTGGGGAGAGCCTTGAGGATTTGATCTATACAGTATAGATCAAATCCTCAAGGCAGTATAGACTATATTGTATAAGTATAGGTCAAATCCTCCGTAGAACGTGTTCCTTCAGTGGCGACTAAATGATCTCTTTAGATTTGGAACTACCTAAATGAACTTTCCTTGGTTGCTAGGTTGCTAGTTACCAACAGTAGATATCAAACTATTTTTATGTCACATACCTACAAAACCGTGTAAACACTATCAAAAGAGTCAATCCAGCGAAATAAAATAAGAAATACCTACTCTTCGTACATAGCTATTGACTAGCCGGATCTCTATTGACTCTATCGTGTAAATAAATCCGGTATAGAACGGTGCTCTTCCGTTTGTTCAGTACCTGGTTGAATACATATTTTACGTTCAAACTGGCTAGAAGTTTTCTCTTCGAAAATATTTGTTCCAGTTAAGAGTTTAATGCAGCACTAAGATTTTTATTCTTTCAATTGATATTTTTTGGAGTAGGTATGTATGCGATAAGAAAACACGAGATGTACCAATCATAGAAACCTACTTAAGACAAAAAGTTTTACTTTTGATCATACATATTATTAGTGAAATAAAAATGTTACGATAAGTACCTAGTTGAAATAATATGACATTAACTGAATAGTTGACCTCGATTTTATTTTACTTGGATCAGCCACTCTCTTATCGTTAAAGATGGATGGATGCCGTTTATTTCTCAATCGGCAAGGGTATTTTATGATGATAGCTGCCATTATCCATTATTTTGGTGGAACATTTTCATTATTTTGGAGGAGCAAAGTTAATCCTATAATATTGTTAATATGGACAATAGTCCATTTACGGTGGATTCGACCAAACAAGAGTAAATATTAATCTCAGAATAAATCGTCAGTTAATCGACATTTTGACATAGGTATTTCCCATACTGAAAAATGTCAATCTGCCAGTTATACCAAGAGTTATTCTCGGACAAAAGTTTGTTCGAATCGGGCCTTACACGTATAGTCGCCAGAATAATCATCGTATTAATAAGAATAAGGCTATGGTCTCCTATAAACGCCGTAGGGCACGTCTCTGACGTTGACGTCGGCGTATGGACGTTGAAAATTGCACCAGTTACAACAGCTCTATACCTACCTAACCTATCTACTCGTATAAGATGCCTTTAGTTGACGGTATCAATTAAACAAAAAACAAATATAATTTAAATATCAAGTGTCACTTACCTTCTCCAGAAGTGATGTAAGTGTCGACAATGATCTGAGCCCCGTTGTAGAAGTCCCCGAACTGCGCCTCCCAAACGCACAAGTTGTCAGGATTGTCGTACGCCATACCGTATTCGAAGGCTAGCACCGCCTCTTCGGATAGGATCGAGTTGGCTACCTAAGTATAAATAAAGTATGGATTACTTATTTGCCTTTAGATCAAATTGCCCATAAGGTCTTTTACATGTTTTATGAGCTTTTTAACTTTGAATCAAACATTTGGCTGATGCACAAAAGAAGCGTTGCCTAGACCTACTTTTATTGATTCTGAAGCAGTTCTTTCAGTTGACTGTGTATTTTTGTAGTAATAATGACAATACGATACGATTACGATAACTCCGCCCAAGAGAAGTGTCAGAAATACAATTTATTAGTTTTTATAGTCACCAAAGAAAAGTTCTGCCATCGCATACTTATGATCCCCTGCGGAGTAGAGAGTTCTGAGAACTGCTAAACGATAGTTGGAAAGTCCTAACTTTTTTCAGCTCGTTGAAAATAATTTAACCTGTTGCAAACTAATCTAAACTTCTAGCGAATTGATTTGCTCTAGTTCAATTAGTTTCTGTAGTTTCAATTAGCAAGATGCCTTCAATTAAACTAAGTAAGGCTGGGTTGCACCACCTTACTTTAACTTTGTCAAACGTCAAAAATCTGTCAAACTCCATACAAAAACCACCGGTTATCGTTATAGTTACGGTCAAAGTTTGGTGGTGCAATTAAGCCTAAGTATTTTTGAAACAATGTTCACTCAAAGCGTTTTGGACCTTAACACAAGGGAAAACAGTTCAAAATATGGTGGGGACTATATTCCCATTGATGTTAACGGTTAATATCGTTGTTACCCAGAGATAAACTAGTAATCATTCTTTGATCATTACCGGTACCACAAAATAATAATAAATACAACTTTTATTAATAATACCTTACCTCGAGATACCCTTTCTGGTCCTTATGTATATTGTTGAGTGGCACGTATATCTGCTCAGTCTCCTGGTCCACCAGCATGGCGTGTCTGTGCGAGAACGTTCCCCTGCCCACGTCTTCCCCGCTCAGTCTTACGTTGTGGCCTTCCATTAAGAGGGAACCTGAAAGATACAATTTTGGTGAAGAGTTCTGTAAAGTTCTCGATAATGAGGATGCGAAATTGTCTATTTTCATTCGACGGAATTCATCGTCATCATCATTGTTTCAAAGTTGAACATAGGCCTCTCCAAATGATTTCCATAATGAACGATTGGTAGCGGCCTGCATCCAACGCCTTCCTGCTACCTTTTTGAGGTCACCGGTCCAATCAATGGAATTACACCTATGCAACATATTTAGTCAAATGATTTGGGATAAAAAATTAGAAAGAAAGGATGTCATATTCATTGAAGTTTTTAAAATGGAAGGATAAGTCAGGTCTTTGTCGGGCTTTAAGGCTAACTTCGTCAGGTCCAGGTAGGTCAGGTCTTTAGGTTTTATTTAGACGAAGCGTTTGTTTTTCAGTTCAAGTAGCACATTGTAGAGTCAGGATCCATAATGATCTAAAGTAACTAATAATAACTAATTAGGATCTTTATTAATCTAAAGGAAAGTAATGTGTTACCAAAAGCCAAAGCTTCTGCAGTCGCCCAATCTAGGTCCTTTCCTTCGGTTACTTTATTGAGACGGTTCTTGATATGTGTCTTCGCTAGATGCTGGTGGGTGTTCTGAAAGAAACGAATACAAACATGTTTTTATTACAAGCTTTATATTGACTTCACATGTTAGTATGTGTGGGACAAATCTTGCAACTGAATTTAAGACCACTTCTCCTCAACCGATTGAGCTGAAATTTGGTACACTTATGTAAGTACGATGACAATGCAATGTTATGGTACCATTGAGCTGGTCTGATGATGGAGTCAGGAAGTGGCCATAGGAACTCCTAAACGAAACGACGGCATCGCATCGAGTATGGGTTCGTTGGATTTGTCTTTTCGAGCAGCTTAGTGCTAGATGATGTCCAGGGTCATGATGATGGATTAGGGAGGTGGCCATAGGAACTCCTAAACGAAACGGCAGAAACTCATCGAGTTTGGGTTCGTTGGATTTTACTTTTCGAGCAGTTTAGTGCTAGATGATGTCCAGGGTCCTGATGATGNATAATATATTTAATTGATTTCGAGATGTTCACTTTTTACTATATTGAAACACGTCTTTGACTAATGGTGTTTAATGAACAACTGAAGTAAAAAAGTAAAAAAACAAAGCGTCAAAATATAAAAAACATTCCAAAAGAAAAAATACAAAAAACGCATATAAAAAAGGTCTGTCGCCAACACAGTCTTCAAACTTACTTCTAGCATTAGGATATTTCTCCAGCTCCTTCTGCAGGCCCTGTAGAGGGAAGGGGCTGAGGGCCTCCACTCTCACGATCGCGACGTCCTCAATGCCTACCTTCACTTAGCAAACAGCCGTCCATTAATGGATGACAAGGAACGAAAATCACGATCTCCTGCTTATTCTCCCAGCCTCTGCCAGCTATCTTCTTTATCATCATCATCATCATTTCAGCCATAGGACGTCCATTGCTGAACATAGGCCTCCCCCAATGATTTCCATGTTGATCGATTGGTAGCGACCTGCGTCCAGGGCCTTCCTGCTACTTTTATGATGTCGTCGGTCCACCTTGTGGGTGGACGTCTCATGCTGCGTTTTCCGGTACGCAGCCTTCACTCCAGAACCTTGCTGACCCATCGGTTGTCAGTTCTGCGTACTATGTGCCCTACCCATTGCCACTTAATTGCTTATCTTCTTTATATCTGCAGATAAAGGTATGACGGTCTTCAAACTTACTTCTAGCATTAGGGTATTTCTCCAGCTCCTTCTGCAGGCCCTGTAGAGGGAAGGGGCTGAGGGCCTCCACCCTCACGATAGCGACGTCCTCGATGCCTGCCTTCACTCTCTCTTTGTGCAACTCGTAGTAGTGCTTCCCGCAAACAAGGATCACTCTTCTCACTTTAAGGGGGTCTGCTATTTTGTCTCCTGGAATTTAGAAAGAAGAAAGAAAAAAATGTTTATTCAGTATCATCGACAATACATTTGCAATACTTAACATTGTTTAATAAGAAGGTAATTACAATGATACTGAAAAGGTATCCACTCAGCATGGTGTCGTAGCATCTCAGTAGATAATGCCACGACGCTGGTCTTCCGTGGACACCCAAACAGGGAGAGCACTACTGAGCACAACAATTGCTTATGAATCATGATGCATAATAATATAAATACCTCATAAATACGTTACATATTGTACACCTTATATTTAACTCTATTAACCAATTTAAACATTGTTTTATGATTTTATTTCGGATTTAATGAGATTTGCTAACTATTGGTACATTTGTTGATAATTTGCTGAAAATCTAAATAATCTATATATATGTTACAGGAAATGTATGTATTCTAGGAATTGTATACTATTCCTAGGAAATGTATACAATTCCGAAGCTATTTAGGAAATGTATAAAATATTGCTTCAGAGATTTTTTAATACGCACATATCCTAGGACATGTATACTTTTCCTAGGAATTTTATAGAATTCCAATATTGTATTAGGAAATGTATAAAACTAAGCTGCACAAGCGCGGTCGTGTGATCGGGTGCCTCTCAGTACGCCTAAAATTTCCATTAGCCAAACCACATTGGCCGATAGGTACTTTTAACTCACAACTATAATTGTTTAGCCTGAAAGTTGTTTTCGCACTATTATACTTTGGCTGAAAAAAATATTTGCCTATTGGCATACCTTTCTTTCGGCATCACGCATATTACGCTGAAGTATTGGAAAACCCTAATTTTAACATATCTTTTATTAAACTATTATTGGCATGAAGGTTTTAGTACTCCTGTAGCTGGATAACAAAGTCTCGGTTAGGTTAGGTTAGACTTGCGACCTTACACATACACAGCGGCCGCGGCGCGGTAGCGCCATTTAAGTTTCGGAGAAAAAAAAGAAATCTTAATTACATTTCCGATTGCTGTTTAGGAATTGTGTAAATTTCCTAGGAAATGTGTCTAATATAATTTACATCACACATTTCCGGGTGATTTTAGGACTTATACACAAATCCTAGGAATTGTATACAATGACGGATTTCATACATTTCCTGTAACACGGTACATGTCTGTACCGTCCGAAATGGAAAGCAGGGCCTCGTACTCGCCGGCGAGTACGGTGTAACGAGCTACTGTGTTGTGGAGTAGTTGGCGTGCTTAAGGCAGTGATGTCTGTGTTCAGAAATTCGGTAATAGGATCGTCCGGGTCGTCTAGGACATGCCTAGGTCGTCGGTATTGGGCAGCGACATCTTTCTGGGGTGTATACGTGGCGGCGCTAACGATAAGAGGGTTCTTGTGGTTGATCGCTTTATCAAAGTAGCGGCGAGAGGCTTCTTTCATAAAGTGATCAATCGATAGGATCTCGAAATCTCTATGGAGATTCGTGTTATGCACGAACCACGGGGCATCCGCGGCTCGGCGTAAGAATTTATTTTAGAGGGTCTGGAATTTCTTAAGGACTGTGCAGGAAGTGTGAGCAAACTGACTGGCGTAAGTCAACACTGGACGGATGCAGGTTTTGTAAATTGTCAACTTATTTCTAAGTGACAATTTACTTTTCCTTACAACTAGGTGGTAGAGTCGGTGGGTGTAGTGGTTCACACGGCTCAAGACGCGTCTGAGGTGCGAAGCGAACGATAATCTCTGGTCGAGGGTGACACCTAAGTACTCTTCCAAGGAATAGTTTGGTCAAATAAGGTGAGATGGGTGGGGGACATTAGGACGAGTGCGAACCGGAGGACGTTTCGCAGACAACAAAGCCCTAGAAAAGTACACTGCTGCACTTTTTTCGGGATGTACCTCAATACGCCACTTCCTGAACCATTCGCCTAATTGTGTGACTGCGCGTTGGAGCGCCAAGATGACGTAATTCCGATTACGTCCGGACTTGTAGAGTGCGGTGTCGTCCGCAAAGAGGGCTAAATCCGTATTCGGATATTTGGGGATATCATTGACGTACAATGAAAAAAATTATAATAAAAAAAACTTTTTTAAAAACAAGCTTTATCCTGAAATGCAGTTGTACTGAAACGTAAAAAATAATTGTATGCTTGGTTCAAAGAATTTCGAAAGCTTGTATCGCGCATGGAATTTATTCCTCTTTTTTTCTGTTTGCGCTACAAGCTTTCGAAATTCTTTGAACCAAGCATACAATTATTTTTTACGTTTCAGTACAACTGCATTTCAGGATAAAGCTTGTTTTTAAAAAAGTTTTTTTTATTATAATTTTTGCACTTAGCGTTACTCCGGAGAATAAACAACGATATTGTACGAACGATATACTAGACACTAGAGGGATCTAGGATCTAAATAAGTTCTGAAAGGTTTTTATGTAATATTTTGAAAATATAGAGTCTGAAATTTATCGGTTTTCTTGAAGATATTGTTTTACAAGTACTTACGAAATCGCTTGGCGTTTGAACTGAAGCATAACCAACTAATTTGAGAAGACCGATATCGACTCCTGTGTCCCAAGTTTCGACAGCGTGTGGAGCTGGGTTCATTTTGGACCATTGTTCTTGATAATACGTCACCTAAAATTAAAATAGTGGAAATTATTTGCTATTCATATTTTTTGTGCAATTTTGGGGTGTGTTTTATTAACGGTTGAATCATGAATGATTCACTTCAATGTTAATTTGACTGTATTCTTCGTTGCTATCGAATAAACAAAAACATATTAGTAATGTCCAGTACAATTTCATACCTAGGTAGGTAGTCAGTATTAAAACTAAAGCAAAATAGTTATTTAAATATTCTATTATGTGGGGTATTTTACTTACCTCAGGTTTGTAGGAAGGCACAGATTCGTATTGCGACTGCAAGTATTTGGCATATTCAGTTGAAATGTTGTTAACTTCCTCCCCCGAAATGACTCCTTCTGACACAAGTTTGTCAGCGTACAAGTCCGGAATCGACCTAAAAATTTGGTAAGTTACTCACTCACTATATCAATATTAAATATCATACAAAAGAATCTTACTAAAAAAACTTCGAGTTTAATGTAGTTCGCTTTTGAACAACGAGAGCTTATTTTATCTCATCATCATCATCATTTCAGCCATAGGACGTCCACTGCTGAACATAGGCCTCCCTCCCCCAATGCTTTCCACGTTGATCGATTGGTAGCAGCCTGCATCCATCGCTTCTCTGCTACCTTTACGATGTCATCAGTCCACCTTGTAGGTGGACGTCCCACGCTTATTTTATCTACGCCAGAAAAAAGAAGGGTTATTTTTTCAGGGTATGTTTATTTCTTTGGCAATCTGAAGTCTTGATAAATCGACGATCTAGTAAAGGTCGTACAAAGCATTTGGCATCTGGGCAGCNGAGATCCACGCGCACGAAGTCGCGGGCGGCCGCTAGTTTGGTACTAAAAATAGAATGATACACATTGACAATATAAAGCAAAAATAAATATTTGCCTCTAAGGCTTTTTTAATGTTTTACGAGTATGAGCTTTTAACTGCGCTTTGAATCAAACATTTGGCTGATGCACAAAAGAAGCGTTGCCTAAACCTACTTTTATTGATTCTGAAGCAGTTCTTTCAGTTGACTGTGTATTCTTGTAGCAATAATGACAATACGATACGATTACGATAAGAGAAGTGTCAGAAATACAATTACTTTTATAGCCACTTACGAAAAGTTTTGCCATCGCATATCATGATCCCCTGCGGAGTAGAGAGTTCTGAGAACTGCTAAACGATAGTTGGAAAGTCCTAGCTTTTTCAGCTCGTTGAAAATAATTTCACCTGTTGCAAAACTAATCTAAACTTCAAGCGAATTGATTTGCTCTAGTTCAATTAAGTAGTTTCAGTAGTTTCAATTAACAAGATGCCTTCAATTAAACTAGTAGTATATTTGAAACAATATTCACTCAAGTAGTAGTAGTTCACATAGTACGCAGAATAACCGGCCGATGGGGCAGCAAGGTTCTGGAATGGAAGCTGCGTACCGGAAAACGCAACGTGGGACGTCCACAAGGTGGACCGACGACATCATAAAGCTAGCAGGGAAGCGCTGGACGCAGGCCGCTAACAATCGATCAACATGGAAAGCATTTGGAGAGGCCTATGTTCAGCAGTGGACGTCCTATGGCTGAAATGATGATTCACTCAAAGCGTTAATGGCTTTCATTGTTTTTGAACCTTCAAGGGGATTCAGTTCAAAATATGGTGGGAACTATATTTCCATTGACGTATAAAGGGTTGATATGGTTGTTAGCCAAAAATAAAGTAGTAATTATTATTTGTTAATTGCCGGTACTTTTATTAATAACACCTTACCTCGAGATACCCTTTCTGGTCCTTATGTATATTGTTGAGTGGCACGTATATTTGCTCAGTCTCCTGGTCCACCAGCATGGCGTGTCTGTGTGAGAAGGTTCCCCTGCCCACGTCTTCCCCGCTCAGTCTTACGTTGTGGCCTTCCATTAAGAGGGAACCTGAAAGATACAATTTTAATGAAGAGTTCTGTAAACTTCTGGATATTGAGGATGCGAAATTGTCTATTTTCATTCAACGGAATTCATCGTCATCATCATTGTTTCAAAGTTGAACATAGGCCTCTCCAAATGATTTCCATAATGAACGATTGGTAGCGGCCTGCATCCAACGCCTTCCTGCTACCTTTTTGAGGTCACCGGTCCAATCAATGGAATTACACCTATGCAACATATTTAGTCAAATGATTTGGGATAAAAAATTAGAAAGAAAGGAAGTCATATTCATTGAAGTTTTTAAAATGGAAGGATAAGTCAGCTCTGTGTCGGGCTTTAAGGCTAACTTCGTCAGGTCCAGGTAGGTCAGGTCTTTAGGTTTTATTTAGACGAAGAGTTTGTTTTTCAGTTCAAGTAGCACATTGTAGAGTCAGGATCCATAATGATCTAAAGTAACTAATAATAACTAACTAACTAGGATCTTTATTAATCTAAAGGAAATAATGTGTTACCAAACGCCAAAGCTTCTGCAGTCGCCCAATCGAGGTCCTTTCCTTCGGTTATTTTATTGAGACGGTTCTTGATATGTGTCTTCGCTAGATGCTGGTGGGTGTTCTGAAACGAATACAAACATGTTTTTGCACTTAGCGTAATCCGGGGAATAAACAACGATATTGTACGAACGATATACTAGACACTAGAGGGATCTAGGATCTAAATAAGTTCTGAAAGGTTTTTATGTAATACTAGCTGACCCGGCGAACTTTGTTCCGCCTTAATGGCAATAAATAAGCAGACTTTTTTATTTCAAACGGGATAAAAAGTATCCTATGTCCTTCTCCTGGCTCTAAACTACCTCCCTGACAATTTTCAGCTAAATCGGTTCAGCCATTCTTGAGTTATAAGTGGAGTAACTAACACGTATAGATTTTGAAAATATAGAGTCTGAAATTTATCTGTTTTCTTGAAGATATTGTTTTACAAGTACTTACGAAATCGCTTGGCGTTTGAACTGAAGCATAACCAACTAATTTGAGAAGACCGGTATCGACTCCTGTGTCCCAAGTTTCGACAGCGTGTGGAGCTGGGTTCATTTTGGACCATTGTTCTTGATAATACGTCACCTAAAATTAAAATAGTGGAAATTATTTGCTATTCATATTTTTTGTGCAATTTTTGGGTGTGTTTTATTAGCGGTTGAATCATGAATGATTCACTTCAATGTTAATTTGACGGTATCCTTCGTTGCTATCGAATAAACAAAAACATGTTAGTAATGTCCAGTACAATTTCATACCTAGGTAGGTAGTCAGTATTAAAACTAAAGCAAAATAGTTATTTAAATATTCTATTATATGGGGTATTTTACTTACCTCAGGTTTGTAGGAAGGCACAGATTCGTATTGCGACTGCAAATATTTGGAATATTCAGCTGAGATGCTGTTAACTTTCTCCCCCGAAATGACTCCTTCTGACACAAGTTTGTCAGCGTACAAGTCCGGAATCGACCTAAAAAGTTGGTAAGTTACTCGCTATTTAGTAATTTCAATCAAATATCATACAAAAGAGTCTTACTAAAAAACTTCGAGTTTGATGTAGTTCGAACTTTTGAACAACGAGAGCTTATTCTACCGGAAAAAAGAAGGGTTATTTTTTCAGGGTATGTTTATTTCTTTGGCAATCTGAAGTCTTGATAGATCGAAGACCTAGTAAAGGTCGTACAAAGCATTTGGCATCTGGGCAGCGCAGGACNTGGGCAGCGGAAATGCTTTGTCCACTTCTGGACAAAGGGGAGGCTTTTCTTTGGCTGAAACGAACGAACCAAATAACATAAATCTTACTTCCTGCTCCGTATAAGTTTGTACAGCAAGGGATTGGTGAAAGTGGGGTCATCAAGCTCGTTGTGCCCCCAGCGCCGGAAGCAGTTGTAGTCGATGAATACATCTTTTCTGAACTGCCGCTGGTACTCGAAGGCTATGTTCGTTGCTTTTGCTACTAGCTGTGAATTGGTAAGTAAAGATAAATAATATTAAAGCTACTGTTTACGTACGTAGCGTCACTTCATAGACGGTTAGTCGTCATTTTACACTTGGTGTAGGTACGCTTGTTTGCTATGAAATAGTTGAAGGAGCGCTAATCAAAGTCGCGCTCACTTATCACTCACTATATCACTACCGTCGGCAGTGTTTCATACTCTTTTGTGTAAGTTGCAAGCAAGTGTACATTACACATTGATAGACGAATAAAGTAACGCTACGTGGACAATAGCACTTGGTACGTTATAGTAAACAACCTCTGCAGCTAACTTCGCCACAATAATTGTCCAGCGGTCGACGAGGATTGAACTAACATTCCTTGAGTCTTGAATAGGCAGTCCAACACTACTATACAGCTATTGTTGCCTAGCATTAACTAACTATGTATGTACATACAATATCGTATTCATTACCAAAGTAGAGCTTTTTTAAATGAAAAGCAATGAATATCCAGCATACCTCTGGATGGTCCCCATTGACGTGGATGACTGGCGCGGCGATTGTCTTCGCTAAGTCGGTCACATACCGGCACGAGCGTCCCCTAGCCGCCGGCAGCGTGAAACCCACCTGGTATTTCATAGCTTTTATTGTACACAATTCACGCTAAAATTGCATTTTATTTACCCAGTTGCATAGGTCGTGCAATGAAAGTTGAGGTGGACACAAACTCTACTCACACTGATTTGTTCATACACAACATACAGTACTAGCTTTTGTCCGCGGCTTCACCCGCGTGAAATTTTTGATTATCACAGATCGTCATAAATTATAGCCTATTTGTTATTCTGGGTTATAAACAAAAATACTGTAAAGTTTCATCAAAATGTTTTTAGTAGTTTTTGCGTGAAAGAGTATCAAACATCCAGACATCCATACAAACTTTCGCATTTATAATATTAGTAAGAGTAAGATTAGTAAGATACGCAAGACTTCAGCTTGACAAGCGTATACAGATACAAATCTTTGCTTGTATGGTCTTTGCTCTAGGCGTTATTTCTATTGGCGGATTTTATTTGCTACCTAGTCTATTCTACCTCTCTTACTTTCTAGGCCCAGACTACTTAGCATATTCGTCGGCCGTTTGGTGTAGTAGTTCAGAACGGACTACTATGCCGAGAGGTCCCGGGTTCGATTCACGGCCGGGCAGAAATTGAAATGATGAATTTTAATTTCTGTGACGGTTCTGGGTGTTACTATGTATAATATGTAATGTATTTAGAAAAAAAAGTATTTAAGTACGTTTATATCCGTTATCTAGTACCCATAGTACAAGCTTTGCTTAGTTTGGGACTAAAGGCGCAGTGTAAAATGTACAAGGATATTTACTAGAGGTACTAGATATTAGAGGTACTTTTTTGTAACAAAGATTTATAGTCCCTGTACACAACACAAAACTGACAATCACAAGATATACCAAGACCAACATCATGTGGCGGCACCACAATTTATGGTCTCTATTTATTGCTGAAAATATTATTTTCTATCCAGGAAGGAGAGGACAGTTGATACATAGCAAACAATACATTAATGAAGCCATCAGAACCCAACTTAACGAAATGTTTCTGGCTGTGACAGAGATGGATGGAGCAGACATATCGTTATAGCGTCATATTGTATGTTGGGGACATCTGTAGCAAAAGTAAGTGGCCAGTTAATAAGCTTCTTGATAATAACACATATTACTTTGACTCCATTTATGTACCTGTCTGGTAGTAAAAGATTATTTAGGTTAAAAGAAAATGATTAAATAGCGCCTTGGTTAACTTTTTAAACTCTCAAATGTGGCAGATTTTTTGTAATTTTTATATCGGAAGCCGGTATTAAGCTACAGTAGACGAGTTAATTGGCAAATCACATCTCGGTAAGTTACTCGTCTACTAGAGTCTTAATTGGCACAACATCTCGGTATTATGGTCCAGTATGAAGTTGTATTAAGTGCGAATTTGCTACAAAAGCCGTTATACTAACTTGATTGTTGACCACAACATGGAGTGACCCGCCGACGTTGAAATGCGGTGCTTGAGACAGCATAAGGGTCTCCTGGTTGATTCCTTGGCCCGTGAAAGCTGCATCACCGTGAATCTGAAATAGATTTCATGTAATAACTTATAACACCACCTGAAACTCACACACTATTTAGGTAATTAAAAATAAAGTGACTGCTTAGGTAGATATTACGAGACTATTCCCACCTCTCGTTCCCACCGCTGCAACTTCTGTGTAGCCAGGATCTACAGCTTGACCCAACCCAACCAAAAAACTCAACCAGTGAAGGTCAAGTTTGTCTAGGGGAAAAGTAAAACTGTCATTGGACCAGCTACGAAATTAATCAGAAGAACACAGGACGAGTTTGAAGTTAAGGTTCGACTTTCCTAGTTAGAAACCTACTAGTCATTTTGTTTATACTTGAACGAATTAGTTACGTCTTTCACTACGAGATATTATTAAAAGGCTTTATGGTGTAAAATGAAATTATATTGTAAAAATAAAAATCACATTACATTGCTTTTAGTTCAAGAGTACTTACGAGTAGAAAAGGTCAAGAGGGAAGAGAAAAAAGTGACAGTCGTAAAAACACAAAAAAGTAAAAAGAAGTTTCTCGCCGGCCAGGCGCGCGGCCAAGGAGTTTAGTCGCACTTAAGCGACCTTTACAATGAGGGCTGTCGTTTTTATACTTAACAGTTGGCACCCCTGGCGATTGACAGGACCTTACTCTACAGTGGCGCCATCTTGATGAGTGCAAATGCGATAGTCCTCCTACCACTTTAGCGCTCACCAGTTAAGCAGTTGGTGCCACTGTCTTCGCTACTAGCAAGTGACAGGACCTTACTCTACAGTGGCGCTAACTGGTGAGCGCTAAAACGATAGCCCTCATTACTAGGCCGTTATATTAGACTATGGCTGAGATGATGATGATGATGTTATATTAGATAGACCTGTACAATAACAATAATGAATAAATCTTACCTGGACGTTTATAACCTTGTCTCCCATGACGGTGGATCCATCAGGGGAGTAATCCCCCTCTTTCAGTAGCAGCTGCCTGGACCTGGCTTTCCCCATGGATACAGGGTTAGCAGCCTGAGACAAAAATATTCAATTTGGAAAAAAAAATCCAATTTATAAACATGACTAATAGATACTTTGAAGATTGGACTAGAAAAAACTGGCAATTCAAGTTATAAAATTTAAACAAAGTTCGTTCATCAATGACCAAAATTAGCCACGATACTAAAATAAATAATATTTTATTGAACTAACAATGCATTTATCATCTGTTTGGGAAGAACTAAGTTTATCAATCACTTGACAAAGTAATTAAACAAGTTTAATGATTTTGTATTGACATAGACTCTACTCGGCATAGTATTATAAGAAAATTGGAAAAAAATCCCGATTATTAGAAGAAAGTTTCCCATACATACGTAAGTGTGGTATAAGATCTTGTGTCTTCACAACTTTGACGATTCTAGGCCAATGGGATAAGTATATCTCATGATGGGTTTTATTTAAACAGTGAATGACAAAAATATAAGGCATATTATCGGTTGTATTGACTCAGAAGTTCTATTTTCCACAGCTTCAAACATATACCCACGCGTTCTTGAGTGAAAGGGTCACAACTGTACGGCTAGCACGAAAAACTTTCGAGTTCGAATCGTTTGCGTATTCGAATCGCCATCAAAAGATTGAAAATTACAACTGCACCCTTGTGAACGTGTCGTAAAGTGAACTTAGTATGAGAAAGTTGCACGAAACTTTTTTTGAGAATCACAAATTGTCACGTTATCGTTTAATTCGAAGGTTTTGTCAAATACGCAAACGATTCGAAGACGAAAGTTGTTCATGCTAGAGATACTGGTCTTAACAGCCAGAAATAAGTGTCACACACTAATCTCATAAAGGTTCATTTTTTCCTTTGAAGTACGGAACTCTAACTTACCTCCAAGTGCGACGGGTTGTTGAGTAGACAGAACCGGACGGATTTTCCATTTACGGCGATATCCACCGACGCACCTGAAATTGAAATACATTATTTGGCAAAATGGACGGCATCGGGAAATCTGTTTATCTGTTTGTGACTGAGTAAAAACGCGGTTTGTCCGGGACGATGGGTTTCGTTTATTAAAAGCGGTAAAAGGCGTTGGGAATATAAAAGCCTTTTGGAAATAAAACGTTTTTGTCAAAGATTATTATCGAAAAAAAATGAGTAGGTACTTATACTTATTATACTTAGGGTGAGATACACAGATGGTACACTATTCGAACACTAGTATTTTATAATTGTTTAACTTTATAAAAACTGAATAATTTTTCTTAATATTACCCAAGCGTGGAACCCGTTTCGTAAAATCCTTTCTTAGCGGATGCCTACGTCATAACATCTACCTGCATGCCAAATTTCAGCCTGATCCGTCCAGTGGTTTGGGCTGTGCGTTGATAGATCACTATGTCAGTTAGTGAGTCACCTTTGATTTATATAATTTAGATAGCTATTGAGCACAGGCCTTTTAAAATTAAGACTTTCAACAGACTTTCAATGGAGTTCCTGATAAAGATTACTCTCAAATTAACTTACTAAGATGGGTAGAGATATCACAGGCAGCGTTGGCTTCCAATGGGAACTCGGGCTGGCCACTGAACTTGTGAAAGATCTTCACTGGAGGACACTGGAGTAATCCACTGAGGACATTCAGCTTGCCTCTGTGAGCCATGGCTAATATAACTTGCTCGACGCCCTCTGTAAAGGGCGAAGAAAAAGTTTTTAAAAGTTGGATAGGATAGACAGACTATGGTGTGTGTGATGTACTAAAACGTGCATAATACCATATTATGAAATGAAACCCATTCAAAATAAAAAATCATCATCATCATCAGCTCAGCCATAGGACGTTCACTGCTGAACATAGGCCTAGTCAAGAAGCTTAAGAAATCAAAAATAATCGTCTCAAAAAGCGCCTTGTTCTCCTTCTTCTACCTAATCATGAATAATCCTTCTAATTTCTTTTTTTTTCTTAAAACTTCCTATAGCTTTACATTTTTAATTCTCAATGGCTTATTGAGAATTTTATATTATTAAATTTTAACATTAATCTACTTAATTTACTTCCTCATAAGTAAAATGTTTAAGTTTGTTATTGAAAGTTATCCAAAGTTACGAAACATATAAAAACTGCGCTCGGCAACCCGCCTGCCAAGCGTGGTGAGTACTGGCAATTCCCCCACAATGAAATACACAAAAGCAACCAGGCCCCCAGTCTCCGGTGGCCCCGCTGTTCCTGGCTACGGTAGCGGTCAGGGTGACAGCGGGGCGGGGGGTGCTAAGAATCTCCGGAGGCGGACTGGCTACCCACACCAACGACGCGGAAACGTGGCCTCTCACTATAGGCCTTATACAGAAGCTCAAAGTTGCACAGCGTGCTATGGAGAGGGCTATGCTTGGTGTTTCTTTGCGAGATCGAATCAGAAATGAGGAAATCCGTAAACGAACTAAAGTCGCTGACATAGCCCGACGGATTAGCAAGCTGAAGTGGCAATGGGCAGGGCACATAGTNTCCTGCACAAATAAGTTTGGCACATTGACAGTTTTAGTATGGGAAATATGTCAAAATGACAAGACTATTCGTCAGTTAAAAGATATCTGACGATTGAAAAATCAGCTCTAAGATAGTAAGATTAGTAAGACATGCAAGACTTCAGCTTGACATTCGTATACAGATACAAATCTTTGCTTGTATGGTCTTTGCTCTAGGTGCAATTTTTACTGGCGGATTTTGTTTGCCACCTAGTCTATTCTACCTCTCTCACTTTGCTAGGCCCAGACTACTTAGCATATTCGTCGGCCGTTTGGTGTAGTGGTTCAGAACGGACTACTATGCCGAGAGGTCCCGGGTTCGATTCACGGCCGGGCAGAAATTGAAATGATAAATTTTAATTTCTGTGACGGTTCTGGGTGTTACTATGTATAATATGTAATGTATTTAGAAAAAAAAAGTATTTAAGTACGTTTACCTATATCCGTTATCTAGTACCCATAGTACAAGCTATGCTTAGTTTGGGACTAAAGGCGCAGTATAAAATGTTTACTAGAGGTAGGTACTAGATATTAGAGGTACTTTTTTGTAACAAAGATTTATAGTCCCTGTACACAACACAAAACTGACAATCACAAGATCTACCAAGACCAACATTATGTGACGGCACCACAATTTATGGTCTCTATTTGTTGCTGAAAATATTATATTCTATCCAGGAAGGAGAGGACAGTTGATACATAGCAAACAATACATTAATGAAGCCATCAGGACCCAACTTAACGAAATGTTTCTGGCTGTGACAGAGATGGATGGAGCAGACATATCGTTATAGCGTCATATTGTATGTTGGCGACATCTGTAGCAAAAGTAAGTGGTCAGTTAATAAGCTTCTTGATAATATTGTGACTCCATTTATGTACAAGTATTTGGCTGACAAACATTGAGTTTAGAGATAGTGTAGAAATACCTAATTGTCTGGTAGCAAAAGATATAATATTAAATAGAGCCTATTGGATTTTTAATTTTATTTAATTGGCACAAAATCACATCTCGGTAATGTGTCACAGTAAGATGTTGTCCACCTAGTGGTGGACCGACGATCTGGTAAAGAAGAGCCTGGATGCGGGCAGCGCAGGACCGTGCATTGTGGAAAACCTTGGAGGAGGCCTTTGTCCAGCTGTGGACGTTATTTGACTGAAACGAACGAACGAACGATGATGTTGTATTAAGTGCGAATTTGCTACAAAAGCCGTAATACTAACTTGATTGTTGACCACTACATGGAGTGACCCGCCGACGTTGAAATGCGGTGCTTGAGACAACATAAGGGTCTCCTGGTTGATTCCTTGGCCCGTGAAAGCTGCATCACCGTGAATCTGAAATAGACTTCATGTAGTAACTTATTTGCTTTATAACACCACCTGAAACTCACACACTATTTAGGTAATTAAAAATAAAGCGACTGCTTAGGTAGATATTACGAGACTATTCCCACCTCTCGTTCCCACCGCTGCAACTTCTATGTAACCAGGATCTACGGCTTGACCCAACCCAACTAAAAACTCAATAAATTATTTCTATTTCTATTTCTATTTCTATTCTATTTCAACCAGTGAAGGACAAGTTTGTCCCGGGGAAAAGTTTAACTGTCATTTGACCAGCAACGAAATTAACCAGAAGAACACAGGAGGTTTTGAAGTTAAGGTTCGACTTTTTTAGGTAAGTAGATACTGGTCATTTGGTTTATACCTGAACGAATTACGTCTTTCACTACGATAAATTATTGATTGAAAGGCTTTATGGTGTAAAATGAAATTTTATTGTAAAAATAAAACTTACATTACATTGCTTTTAGTTCAAGAGTACCTACGAGTAGAAAAGGTTAAGAGGGAAGAGAAAAAAGTGACAGTCGTAAAAAACACAAAAATGTAAAAAGAAGTTTCTTGCCGGCCAGGCGCGCGGCCAAGGAGTTTAGTCGCACTTTTAAAAGCGACCTTTACAATTTTACTAAAGCCTGGTCCGTGAGCACGTAGAATTTTGTCCAATGACCCCAAGCTACCCATCCTTATCGCTCGCGCGTAATTATGTTGCTGTCGCGCTCGCACACTCACTGCGGGCGCCCGTCGCACAGTCGCGACAGCAATATAATTACGCGCGAGTGATAAGGATGGGTAGCTTGGGGTCATTGGACAAAATTCTACGTGCTCACGGACCAGGCTTTAGGCCGTTATATTAGACAGACCTGTACAATAAGAGTAGGCGCACACCGTTGATTTTTCGTCGGCCGATAGTTTAGTCGGGCTGTTGATCAGTATGGGCATGTATCCCATACATGCCCACACTACGCCGATTCGATTTGGCCGATTCTTCATACAAATTAAAATCGGGCACAACTATCGGCCGACGAAAAATCAACGGTGTGCGCCTACTCTAGCAATAATTATTAAATCTTACCTGGACGTTTATAACCTTGTCTCCCATGACGGTGGATCCATCAGGGGAGTAATCCCCCTCTTTCAGTAGCAGCTGCCTGGACCTGGCTTTCCCCATGGATACAGGGTTAGCAGCCTGAGACAAAAATATTCAATTTGGAAAAAAAATCCAATTTATAAACATGACTAATAGATACTTTGAAGATTGGACTAGAAAAAACTGGCAATTCAAGTTATAAAATTTAAACAAAGTTCGTTCATCAATCACCAAAATTAGCCACGATACTAAAATAAATAATATTTTATTGAACTAACAATGCATTTATCATCTGTTTGGGAAGAACTAAGTTTATCAATCACTTGGCAAAGTAATCAAACAAGTTTAATGATTTTGTCTTGACATAGACTCTACTCGGCACAGTATTTTAAGAAAATTGGAAAAAAGTCCCGATTATTAGAAGAAAGTTTCCCATACATAAGTACGTAAGTATTCAAATTTTAAGTTACTTGTGGTATAAGATCTTGTGTCTTCACAACTTTGACGATTCCAGGTCAATGGGATAGGTATATTATATCTCATGATGGGTTTTTATTTGTATGTGAATGACAAAAATATAAGGCATATTATCGGTTCTATTGACTCAGAAGTTCTATTTTCCACAGATTCATACATATACCCACGCGTTCTTGAGTGAAAGGGTCACAACTGTACGGCTAGCACGAAAAATTTTCGAGTTCGAATCGTTTGCTTATTCGAATCGCCATCATAAGATTTAGTACGAACACTACAACTGCGCCCTTGTGAACGTATCGTAAAGTGAACTTATTATGAGAAAAGGTTGCACGGAACTTATTTTGAGAATCAAAATTGTCACGTTATCGTTTAATTCGAAGGTTGAGTATCGAGTTTTGTCAAATACGCAAACGATTCGAAGACGAAAGTTGTTCATGCTAGAGGTACTGGTCTTAACAGCCAGAAATAAGTGCCACACACTAATCTCATAAAGGTTCATTTTTTCCTTTGAAGTACGGAACCCTAACTTACCTCCAAGTGCGACGGGTTGTTGAGTAGACAGAACCGGACGGATTTTCCATTTACGGCGATATCCACCGACGCACCTGAAATTGAAATACATTATTTGGCAAAATGGACGGCATCGGGAAATCTGTTTATCTGTTTGTGACTGAGTAAAAACGCGGTTTGTCCGGGACGATGGGTTTCGTATATTAAAAGCGGTAAAAGGCGTTGGGAATATAAAAGCTTTTTGGAAATAAAACGTTTTTGTCAAAGATTATTATCGAAAAAAATGAGTAGGTACTTATACGTATTATACTTAGGGTGAGATACACAGATGGTATACTATTCGAACACTAATATTTTGAAATCTCTTCAACTTTAAAAATCTGAATAATTACTCTAATTATTCAGATTACTCTCAAATTCACTTACTAAGATGGGTAGAGATATCACAGGCAGCGTTGGCTTCCAATGGGAACTCGGGCTGGCCACTGAACTTGTGAAAGATCTTCACTGGAGGACACTGGAGTAATCCACTCAGGACATTCAGCTTGCCTCTGTGAGCCATGGCTAATATAACTTGCTCGACGCCCTCTGTAAAGGGCGAAGAAAAAGTTTTTAAAAGTTGGATAGGATAGACAGACTATGGTGTGTGTGATGTACTAAAACGTGCATAATACCATAATTATGAAACGAAACCCATTCAAAATAAAAAATCTTCAACATCATCAGCTCAGCCATAGGACGTCCACTGCTGAACATAGGCCTAGTCAAGAAGCCTAAGAAACAAAAATAGTCGTCTCAAAAAACGCCATGTTCTCTTCTTCTACCTAATCATGATAAATCCTTCTAATTTATATTTTTTCTTAAATCTTCCTGTAACTTTACATTTTTAAAGCCATTGAGAATTTTATATTATTACATTTTAAAATTAGAGTAAAACTTCTTCGTTTATTCCTCATAAGTAAAATGTTTAAGTTTGTTATTGAAAGTTGTCCAAAGTTAAATAAACTTTCGATAAAACTGGATTGGAACAGATTAAGGAAACGTAAAACTTTCTTATCGAATTAAATAAGTGTATTTTCCCTAATCACTCATTTTTATATCTTTCCAAATAGAATACTTGTTCCGGGTAGAACTTATTAAAACTCACGGCATTTCGCTTCCTCGTTATATTCCACGTCAAATATGAAGGAAAACATTTCCAGCTCAACTCTTTCCCTAACAAACTCGGTGCGACGTCGAGTCCCAGTATTTTCAACTCAAATAAATAAGTTCGCAGGTGCTGCTATGGAACTTTCAGAGCATTGCATCTTGATATCGAATGTAGGTACTCGTATATGTTAGAAATTCTGATGTGCTTTGAAAATCAATGTTTGGTTTGAATAATTTCAATTTGGTCAAAATAATAATATACATTACATGTATAAGTATTATTATTTTGTGTCATGTTTTCCTTACCTAAAAAGGATTCTATTACTAAATTAAACTCTAGTCTGCCTACAGTTTAGCCGATTATTTAAAGTTTCAATCACACCAACGCGTGCAGATCGCCATCGCCGGCGCGATCACGGCGCGATCATAGGGAAATGACAGGTCGCGTTCTGTCATGGGTCGCGCGACATGTCTTTGGCCTTTGATCGTACGCGTTGGTGTGGTTGAACCTTTACTTGTGTGGTTTTGACAGAGTAGAATAGGACTATCCCCAGTGACTCTTTCCGTGGATGTCGAAAGAGGTGAAGACAGAGTTAAAACTAAAAAAAACTCATTAAAACTCATTGATTTCTGTAAATAGGCTTAAAAAAAGCACTTTTACACGTCCCAGTATTAACCCTACCACTGCTTCAGGACAATGGGCCAGTGCTGAGAAGAAGCAGCGCAAGAAACTCAGTCACTCACTATTGTAGTTTAGGGATAAAATGCAAACATCAGGCCTCCCCAACCAATCTGGCCAGCGCGTGGAGAAGATTTTTCCTACAATTTTTTCTCCCAAATAAATTATAGAGCATCGACCGTCATCCTGCAGTAGAGACTAAATGACTTGATGATAATGATGATGTTATTAACTAACCTGAAGTAGTAAGCTGAAACATTGTCGAGAAGAATGTTAGAAGGGATTCTGCTCCTTCTCCGCAATACCGTTTAACCGTAGGATACTTCACGCCCAGAAACTTATCCCACGCTTGGGAATGCAGCATCTCCTTCGCAATCTCTATCCTTCTTTCTTTTTCTAGGGAGTCCGTGGAACTCTCTATCCTTTGGGCGAACCATTCTCTCTCGGCTTCTGTCTGAAAATATAAAGTTACTCAAAATTGTTTTATAGTTAAGAAACATTTGTGGTTTAGCAACTTCAAAGTAAAATTTACTTTCGAAATACTTGATTTTTCAGGTGAAAGAAAAACTGACTGCCTCATTTAAGATTTTAAGTTGGCAAAACATCTACGTTCCTTCGTTCGTTCTTGTGTTTTAGCCAAATGACCTCCACATCCAAGTTGGAGGCTTGTCCATACTATGCCTTCCAGGTCGTGATAACTTACGCGAGAACTTTTCTGCCCCAAAGACCATGAGCTTTACATCCTATATTGCTAAACTTGAAATAATTTGATAGATGGTTTACCTCTAAGTAAGCGAATTCATACGATATAGGACCACAGTAGATCTTCTCTAGCTCATGCACCAGACTCTTGACAGGCTGGCTGCCGAAGTAACCGTAGAGAAGACTGACGTCTACTGGGTCTTCTGGCGAGAGACCGTATCGGGCTGCATTGAGCTCTTTGATGTCTCTGGAATTTAATTTCACAAATAATGGCAATATTCATGACAAAGTTTAGTATTTAATTGACAAGAAGCAGTATTAAACAATAGACATGGCTAGGTTTATCTTCAACGAGTTAAAAGCGGCTGAAAATTTCCTGAGTGGGTTAGGAAAATGGATTTGTGAGTTTTATTTGTTCCTCTTATATCCTACCCAACATAACAGAAAACAGAAAAATATGTTCTTCTACCCAACACGAGTAATAATACTTCCTATCTACTTAAAATTGTTGAATGTTATTTGCTGATAGATAAGAAGAAACATACAATTAAATACACAATGTTATTTACAAATATTTATGTAATTATATAACATCTAATGTATGTAATAGTTACACTAACGTAATGTTTGTTGTTATTTTAAGAAGCGCGACGCACCAAGAAGTAACGCTCTTGATTGAAAAGATATTTGTTTCGTATTTACCTATTTTCATTTTTATAGTCTACATTGTCTATGGCAGCTTTGAGATGTCCGTGAGTGCGGTAGGCATTGACTAGTTGTTGCGCCCGGCAGTTCTCGTACCTCCGTTTTAGCACTTCTGCAGGTACATCTGAAATATTTAGCATTAAAGCGTATAAAGTATTTTAGATAAATTAAATATGTAAGAACTTTATGTGAAAATCTTTTGGCAAATATAAAGTTTAATTGGTAACTCTATGTGTGTTATAATATGTAGAATGCTGTTTGTTTTCCTAACAATAAAATAAAATAAAAGACTTATTACTGTTTCACTAAACAAAACATGCTTTGTATTCACGTTTTCAAAGAATTCTTTATGCACGGTACGGTTCAGTATGTAGAGTCGGCATAATTATAATAATTAGCATTCAGGTTATTCGTCGGAATTTTTGTTAAAAGTAGGTATACATAAAAATAATTAAACATTCCCAAACAGGATAACTATCAGTTTAACATCAGTTACGACTCGACACCAACTTCACACTGATCAAATAAGAACAATCATACCGGGTTCATTCGCTCTCCTCGGTCGATGCCCGAACACTCCAACTCCCGAATGGTACTTCACACGACGAAACCAACTCTCCCTGAACACAACATCACTCTTACACACTCTAAATACACTCAACATCGTCACAATTATGGTAGACACTCTAAATTTAAATCATGCTCCATCCAAGGTCGTTTAGATCAACATGCGCAGGAGTGCCCGAGCGCGTAGCCGGACCGGCACTGGCGCAGAGATAACTTGTTTACGAAGTATTGTCGTAATAATTGGTTATGTCAACGATTTTTGATAAGAAAACGATTATTTCGGCAGCGTTTAATGATTGTTGAGATATTTACCAACTATTAGGTGTAGATGTTTCAATGTCAATGGTAGAGTGCGTGACTCTACTGATAAAAACATAAATGTCGGTCTTGCTGATAGTAATCATAAGTTTCTACTGCAGTAAAAAATTTAAAAATCTTAGCAGGACACATAGGTATCCTACTTATTCAAAAGTTCAAATAACTGAACGGCTCTAGAAAGAGTTTGTAAGCGCCGATTTTTTTAAAGGTTATTAATTTGTTATTACACAAATTACTAATACTCCAGTTAGCCCCTCGTACTAAGCTAAATATGCTTGCTAGCGGATCACGAGTCGGCCAGTCCGACCCCTTCACCATTCGGCTATCGTGGGTTAAGAAATTGTTATTTAATTTAATTTTTGTTGAAGTTATTTAATTTCAATGGATCTATTAGTAAAGTACGTAGCTTTAGCAAACAGTCTTATGTACTTGAACCTCAATGAACTGTATATAATCTTGGACAATAAAATAATACCTACTAACACACTGAAATCTAAATTGAGCCCCCCTCTATCGATTGTCAAGAGTTAGGCAGTGATAAACATTGTTGTCACATCTTTAAATGATAACGATTGTGATAAAGTTGTTATTATATTACTGAGTTATCATAAATTCGCGATATTTATCACATAGCAACACACCCATCATTTATTAAATAAGATAAAGATAGAACTTCCCATTTTGTAGTGCAAAAAACTGAGCTTTAAATAGTTTTGTCTATTGCAAGTACCTATTTAGTAAACTAATGCAGGTCCTAAAGATTAAAATGTTATTATTTAGATACAATCTATACCAATAATATAGTTAACATCATCGTGCCATTTTAAATAGTAGTCTACCAAACATAAATGTTTTTTCATGTAAATCGGTTCATCATGTTTATAATTATGTTATCAGCGCATTTATTTACACGTTACGTCCATTAGTATGCATCACGCACAAATAAAGCTCGGATTATTATCAAATAATATAAGTAAATTATTATTTATAATGCTTACTTATTATGTCGGTACCAGTATCAGCTAAGGAGTCATCAGGTTAATAAAGAACTGAATTTATCAGATAAAATGTACGACATTTCAGAAAAAAGATCGTTTTTCAGTAACCTCTTTGAGAATCTGAAAAAGATTTTGGGTTATTTTGGCGACAACTCTACCTTGCATGGCGTGCGATATGTGGTTTCCATGTCGTATATACCATTATTTCAAAGGTAGGTAAAGTACCTAATACATAACATTAAAGAATACATAAATATTCGTCGTTTCAGCCAAGTGATGTCAACTGCTGGACAAAGGCCTCACCCAAGATTTCTATGTAGTAAATATTCACCAATAAGTACCATAATTTATACAGCAAGGATGTTTCACTCAGCTGTATACATTAACTTAAAGAGTCCCTTTTCCGTATTCTCTACAAAAGGTTCTTAAATTTTCAGGAAAAGTATCTTAAAATGTTGAATACAAACAAAGCTTGAAACAAACCGCTGACAAAGTTACTAGTGGTTAAGTGGGGGCGAAGAAATGCTTTTTAAATATTAAGGATACTTAAGTATGCCCAAGGGTAACGGCGTCCAAAAGGTTTCTATTAAATCCATACTACTCTTGGTAATATGTAATTAAAATTGATTTTTCGTGTAGGTACTACTATCAAAATTTCCAAGAACTACTATCAAAATTTCCAACCTTTTAAAGATGTTAAAATAGCGAAAGTAATAATTAAAATTACCTTATTAGAATTTGTAAGATTCCTTCTGCAAAATTAATATTTCTACGTCAATGTTTACACAGTAATTTTCCTCGTACATTTTCTTGCGAAAAATTTTACACTGAAAGTAACGATTTAGTGCTTTGAGAAAATAAACATTCAATTTTTTTGTGTAAAAAACAATTGAATTCCATCTTTACATTTTATTTTTTTGTGGCTGTTGCAGTTACCAAAAGCAGCCAGTACCTATCATTAATAGTTTCGTAAGCATTGATAGCAAAAACTTTTTTTTAATTTCAAATCCAACGATTCTGTCGTGCCAGTGCGTTGTTCCTAATTTTAATAATTAGTTACTCTTTGCAAATAAAATTCTTGTTTGAAAATTAATGTGTTCTTATTATAAAAACGGATTTATTCGCTAAAAGCTTTTAAGCCTGTTCCATATGAGTAGATTAATTCAACTGGGAGCAAAATTGCTGGAACTCTGCGCTAGTGAACACTTTGATAATTAAATATTCACGGGAGAACGTTTCACCGAATGTGAACTGCAGTTTTTCCACTTAATATAAAGTTTTCTCGGATTTTTATTGAAGTTCGAAGCAAATTAAATAGTGTACAACATAATTAATTAATACGTGTTTGTTGTATGTAGCGTTTTTCATTACTGGAACAAAGTAATATTTTGTTGAATGTGTAATCAAGTCAACATTTTATTTAAATTAATATATGCTGAAATTTTATTTCCAGAATATTCTGGCTGCTTATACTGTCAGCGAGCGCCGCATGCGCTGGTATTGTGATGCGCCAGGTACTGAGCTTGTACTCAGGGGAGGCCGTGACATATCTCGTAGAGACCAACTACTTGAAGTTCGACACTACCTTCCCAGCAGTGACGGTCTGCGAGCAAGCAAATGCAGAGAGAGTAGCCGCGTATACGAAACGGTGAGAGTTAGGCCCAGAACAGACGGTGAAACGCAACTGCAACGAAACTGCAACTGCCAGTTACTTTTGAGTTGCATCTAAGTTTCTGCCATGGCGTTCNTAGCGTCCGTTGAGAGACCACACATGACGCGACCAGTTTGAAACTTTCAGTTTCAGTTTCATTCATCAGAATCATCACAAAGTTGCAGTTTCGTTGCAGTTGCGTTTCACCGTCTGTTCTGGGCCTCAAACCACAACTTTACGTAGGTTTGCGTCGATTTTTAAGAAATATCAAGGTTGATAGAACTACTCGATACTCGTATTATAATAGTTGTGATAAAAAAGCCAAACAAAAATGCCATACAAAAATGCCATGAGACTTTAGGCCTGACCTGGCCAGTGAGGGGAGTGTAGGTCAAATATCAAATCCTCTACTTGCCTCTGTCACATCAAAGAGGATCATGCTCCTGCAATCGAGATTATATAGCTTTGATGATAATGATGATAAGATAAAAATGTGTGATTTTTATGGAGTCTCCACAAATTAAGATTAATAGGTGCTACGAGGGTGCTACGACGTATACAATTAGTTTAGAATATCTTTTCTTGCTACGAAATAATTATGTCCTACTCAAAATTCAAGAAACACCATCTCGTATTACAAGAATATTTTTAAGTAATAAAATTGAAAATATGTTTATATAAAGAAAATAAATATAGAAAAAAATATGTCACCAAATTGCCAGAACAAAATACCTATTTAGAACTTCAAAAGAATGACCCAACTCAGCACATTCAAAGCTTTTTATTTGTATTCAAGTTATTAAAGGTTTTCGTGGCCTATTTCAATTATGTTTCACGAATACCTATTTTTCAGCATTTAATGAGATTTATTAAAAGGCTGTTAATTAATTTTTGTAAATGAATTTAATAAACGAGGAAGAGATAAGTTCAGCGAAGCGTTTTGAGAATTTGAATCTTCATGGAAACGAAATTTCGTTTTTATGAAGATTCAAATTCTTTTAATTTAATAAATTTAATTTTTATAAATTAAGTTGTAGGTCAGCATTATCCTCACTTAAAAAATAATTAATCTTGGCTCATTTTTACAGATCTACGTAGTACTTATTACAAGTAAAGCCATCTATGAACTCATTGTACGTGCGTACGTATGTTACGTAGGTACGTACGTTTCATAAATTAAGTTTAAGTTGACGGGGAGAACTTGTTAGTCTCGTATAGTTAAATAGTGTTTAGTTAGTGCCAAGGTGGGTGAATTCAGTGCGTCACTTAGTTAACATTCAGAAGTTTTAGGATCAAGCAACCATTTGCCCAGCTTGATAGTAATTAAATAAAATAAGAACAGCGCATAGTCGCAAATTATCATATTTACGTTAATAGTAAATGGGTCAACATAAGTAAGTAGTTAATGTAGTTTTGTTGGCACTTAATGACTTAGCATCAGTCCGTCTTATCAGAAATGTAGGTTGAAAACGGCCTGAGGTATAACAAATAGCTAACTACGTTAGATAAATAACTATAGGGAATAGTTTAAAGGAATAGTTTCTCAGACGATTTGAACTTGTTGGCAATGGTGGTTTTTTCGCTTAAAGATGATCAAAAAATTGGTGCAATAATTTAATTTGTTTTAGAAACAAACTGCCCGGAACCCTAAACCTGTTCCTGAAGGACATGACGTACTGGAGCGCGAGGGTCTGCAGCTGTACCGGCTGCAGGCCTGGCTACTGCACTGACGACTTCTTAGAGATGGTCAAGACCATCCGGGCTGGCTGCAAGGAGCTCCTCACTGACTGCTGGTGGGCTGACGAACACTTTTCATGCTGTGACAGGTAAACTATGCTGTATGAATCTTCAATAACTTCAAACTCCCCCCTATGTTCTTATGAGTAAATTCGTTGCGGGTCCACAGACAGTTTACTTTCCCCTGGAACATACATGAACTTCACTGGATGGGTTTTTATTGGCGGTCAAGCTGTAGATCCTGGCTACACAGGAGTTGCAGCGGTGGGAACAAGAGCTGGGAATAGTCCCATTTATGAATCTTCATCATTCAGCTAGCAGACCACTGCTAAACTTTCTCAACGTGCGAAGAGAATTATCTCCCGCTTTTTTCATTCAGTTAGTGCAAATAAGCCTACCCTTAATTTTTTTTTCATTATACTTCATGCCAAGTATGAGAGCAACCCGAAAATTAATTTATTGTTTGCAAGTAGGATTTTTAAAAAGAGCTTTTATTTTCACTAGTAAGCCAGTGTCACGGTTATGATTATTTCGAGTACTAACTAGGTTCACTATAACCATAAAAATTGCTGGTCAATTATTATACATTGTTCTAATATTCTAGTGCGTATTATTTTCTAAAGATATCCTTTACACGCAATCGCTTTCAAGACGCTTTGTTCACTAAGTGGAGCTAAAAGCTCAGGCATAAGTTTAGCAATTAACTTTAAGCCTGGGCTGGCCTGCGCCCCCTTGTGTAAATTTGTTTAGCCAAGTTACATTATAGGCCGTAAGTATAAGGTAAACTTTGAAGCGTCTATAGAAAGTAATTTGCTGTATTGTTCTTTTGTCAGCCTGTTTATTGTGAAATAGTAAGTAGAATCCGATTATAACGATGATATTACGTCCCAATGTATTACTTTGCTCTGTGCGTCGTAGTCGTACTATGTATAATAAAGAAGTATTTTTTAGGTTATTACCTATTTTCTCAAATCAACTAACCTAATAAAAAATATGCGTCGCTAAAAGCGGTTGGTCGTTATAGGCGGCGTCGTACTAAACGGATTCTAAATTATTTTAACATAATATTGCAGACGTAATTTATGAATTTGGGTAACTTCAAAAGATCTGAAAAGTTTAAGTGCTGTTTGAAAATGGTAGGAGTTTTTAATTCTTTCTCGTCCTGAATACCAACAGAACAAATACCAAACATGGATTCAAGCCTGTGGTTGCTTGAATTTTACTTACACAAATAACTTTATTCTGCTTGTTTATCTCCACAGGTTCCTCCCAATAGAGACAGAGTTCGGGACATGCTTCGTATTCAACTCCAGGCTGACAGGGAACGAGACGGCTCTCATCGTGAACCGCAAGATAGGTCTGCCGAATCTTGTCATCACCGCGATTCAGGACGTAGCGGTAAATTAAACAATAAAAAAAAAGTTTTTTTTTCAGAAAAAGCAGTTCATATTTTGTCAGTAACAATTTGACCTATTAGTTACTTATATGGTAAATAGAACGTACGTACTTTTATTACAAAAAGTTGGTATGAGAACTCATTCAGTAATGATCTACTCGTAATAATATCAGGTAAGGCGTGGTTCAGAAGTTTAATAAGCACAAGTTTTGTTTTGTTTTGTAATTAAAAATTAGAAACTTTTGCCAAACCGCATCATTTCACAAAATTTCTCGCAATAAATTAATACTGCCTACGTAACCGAAGTTATCATAAAGTTCATTTATAATGGTCGCGTTTGTTTTGACAGCAGAGTTTTTATAATTTCGATAACTCTTTTATAATGCGATCAGCTAGGGACTAGAATTCGCTGCCTGTTGCTGTCTTTCTCGAACACTATAATCCGGGCCTTTAAGGTGAGAGGGAATAGGCACTTACAGGGCAGATATGTACCATCGTAGACTGCATNTTGCAAGCTTGTCAGAAAATGGATAGAGTGTCTAATAGTTACTAAATAGATGAGTAACTGTTATATAATGAGTATATGTTACTGACAGATGCAGGTTGTAAGAAATGAACCTTGCTCTGTTTGGCTTTTAACAGCTGGAAGACTGATGCTTGATTTCAGTATTTATTTGGATGCAAGTACAGCTTTTGCTGAGCAAGTGCAGGGTATTGGTGCACTAGTAATTATGTATACATAAGCGGTTCCTCCACACAGATTTATATACATCGACAGTTATTTCACCAGCGTCCGTCATGTTATTAGAAATTTGACAGTGATTGCCTTTATATGGAACTAGCACCATTATCATGAATGGTATTATTCAACGAAAAACGGTAAATTTCATGTCTGACCATAAGATGAAAAGAGGAGAGTCAGAATAATTCGTGTTTGATGACTTGGGTCTCTTAAAATGGAAATGCAACACATTTGTTATGACAATCTCCAATTGTTTCACCAGGAGCTCATAACACTTCAATGGTCATGAGTTGGAATTGTTTTATTCAAGTAAAAGCTGATTATTATTATTTTTTAACAATAATATCCAAAAAAGTGAGTCTTTTCTTATGGATTTCCTCTAATTTATTAATTATGCACGAGCGTGCGTATAGTGCACTTAGTCCTAACACGCACGATAGTGCGGGTACTTTTCTGAAAAATTGGAAAGTCGGAAAATTTTTATATTATTTTTCTTGTCTTCCTTATGGACCAAATGTTACATAAAATCCGAAAAAACATAAATTTTGTGGAAAAAAAAATTCAGGTCTGAAAGGGGTAACCGAAGTTATCATAAAGTTCATTTATAATGGTCGCGTTTGTTTTGACAGCAGAGTTTTTATAATTTCGATAACTCTTTTATAATGCGATCAGCTAGGGACTAGAATTCGCTGCCTGTTGCTGTCTTTCTCGAACACTATAATCCGGGCCTTTAAGGTGAGAGGGAATAGGCACGATATGTACCATCCTAGACTTCATCTCATTTAACACCAGGTGCGATTGCGGTCAAATACCTGCCTTGTTATCCGTAAAAAATTACTTGCTTCAGATAAGGGTCCACTCTCCGGACGACATGTGCACCGTTGGGATGGAGAATGCTCTGGGCAAGCCTTTGGATCTACCCATGATTACTGATTTTGAGATCATTTTAACGGTAAGTGTATGTCTCGTACAGATATTTACAATAGAGCGTAATAAGTCTTACGATGTATAGCTTAGATCCAGATTTTGGTAGGAAAGGATAAACTTGACCCAAGGGAAGTTAGCTAGTTACCTCTATGTGGTCTACCATGGTCTACACTCTACAAGTTCGAAGATGAGTATGAAGAAAAGTGTAGTATAAGTACATGCATTCGTTTAGAAGTTAAATCAGAAGTTCAGACATTTTCTAAAGCTATTATGTTTCTAAATTGTTTAAGTTAATTGAATTGCCGAGAAACATTTCTTTATAAGAAACATAAATTCTGTCCATTGCATTGTCGAGGGAAAGCCGGAAATATTTGTATTCTAAGGCTTGACAAATAATTTCTAATTTGGTAACGGCGTGAGCTTATTCCGCGACATTCTGGAAATTATAACATTTCTTCATTGTCTTGACATTATTCCATCATGAGGCTTTTATCTGGAACGTGTCTTGTTGTTTTTATGTACGAGTACTTACGTAAAGCCTTACTTTGGTAGTAAAAATGAAAATACATTTTTCTTTCTCAATATATTTGGAAAAGTTGGATAATGACTCAAGGAAAGATCCTTATTTATGTTATGAGCATGAATATAAATGTAAGTTGTTAACAAAATTCAACAGTTTACTTTTAGGGCTGCCTATTATTGTCATATTACACACATTTTACGTATATGTACCTAATATTGCGTGTTACAAGTATTACTATCAAATGTATGGAGTATATTAAAACTTCTATCTCCTTTAAGAGAAAATCGTGTACATCAAAAAAGCTATATTACACCCTCAAGTTCTAGCACAAATAGTGGCATCTTATGCAGGAGTAGGTGCTAATTTACAACAACAGGAGAGCGTATCTTCACCTTAAAGGCCGGCAACGCACCTGTAAAGCCCCTGGGTGTCTATGGGCGACGGTAATGACTTACCATCAGGTGATCCGTCTGCTCGTTTGCCTCCTGTCCAATAAAAAAAAAACAATATAAAGTCTGATGTTAATTTAATTTTGTCTGTCTCAGGCAGAAGAGACGCTAAGCGAGGAGTTCGTGACGTCAATGCCTCCGCGCGTTCGTGGATGCCAGCTCAAAGACGAGCGGCCCTCCTTCGCGCAGGAGTGGCCCTCCTCTCGCTACTCCTTCAGCACCTGCATGCTGCACTGCCGGGCGCTGACAGAAGCCAGCCTCTGTAATTGCACTCACCACCTCATGCCTAAACTTAGTAAGTAATATGTACTTTAGTGACAATCCAGTCCTAAACTTTATGCTTCCGCGCGTCCTCGGGTGCCTGCTCAAAGACGAGCGGCCCTCCTTTGTACAGGAGTGGCCCTCCTCTCGCTACTCGCATGCTACATTGCAGGGCCCTGACGGAGGCCAGCCTTTGCAACTGCACTCACCACCTCATGCCTAAACTTAGTAAGTAATACGTACTGTAATGACAATCCAGTACTAAACTTTATGCTTCCGCGCGTCCGCGTGTGCCTGCTCAAAGACGAGCGGCTCTTCTTAGTGCAGGAGTGGCCCTCCTCCCGGTACTCCTTCAGCACCTGCATGCTACATTGCAGGGCCCTGACAGAGGCCAGCCTTTGTAAATGCACTCACCACCTCATGCCTAAACTAAGTATGTGATATCATCCTACCCATACATATGAGTACAATGAAATTACCAGTCAAAAATATCTTAGATCAGATGGAAGGAAGACCTTTATTGAAGTCAGATTCCTAAAATACTATGTGTTTTTCTGGGGGGAATAATCATGACTACGCGATCTCTGGGGTCATTTTCAAATACTGCGCCAAGTGAGTGTTACTCCTACGTTCTAATTTTACGAATAAACACTTAACTATTATTACGTTCTAAACATAATTATTTCGTTCATTTAAATAAGTCTTCTTAGTGGCAAACTATTTATACATTTTTGTGTCTTACAACTATAGCAAATTGAACTAAGCAGCTTAAAACAAATCCAACTTGAGATCTTTGCTGTTTCAATAGCCATTTAGTCCGTTAAGGGTACAATACAATTGCTTTGTTTCTATTCTTGTGAAAACACTCACTAACTTTTCATTAGTTAAATCCAAGTTAATTTAAGTTGACCAACTCAAATCCCTAAAGCTAGCATCCTTAAAGTTGGGAGCCATTGTTGATTTGGGAGTTACATATGGAATTCACAAAGTGCGGACACATGGGTTAATCTATGATGACTCTATACAGATTAAACAAGAAAATCCAGAAGGGACATAACTACCTACAATATTTCTTATTAATAAAAAATAATATTTACGCACATGAATGTAATCTTGTATTTATAGCATTCATACAATGGGATGGATGTCATGATGCAAGAGGCTCTCTCTCAAAATCTGCATGAGATTTAAATTAACAAAAGTATTCAACCTATTTTTCAAATCGTATCTGAGTTCACTGCCCTAGAGTCAGACTTTAAGGCTCTGCCTTTAAAACCCAAGGAATTAAGGCCCGAAGTGCCTTTTGAAACATCGAAAACTTGGAATAATATTTGGAAAACAGAATTAAATTTCTTCTCGGACATTCAATTTACGTAAGTAATCCAAAATCAAATTAATCGAACTCCAAGTCGAGAAAGATCGGCGCCTAACCATTAGACCACCATGGAGCCTTAGTAAAACAAATAAATACCTATAAAGTCCCTTTTTCGCTCTTCTCAGACAATGCCTGTCTAATAATGTATTTGTTCGCAGGCGACATTCCTCGGTGCGATATTAAAGGCTTGGCGTGTCTGAGTATGAAGAAAAGTAAAGGTAGGAAATGAGTTTCCGTTGAGTTTCAGTAGTATTTCAGCTGTCAGCAATATACAGGTTGTTAGGTAAATGGGTATATGAGCTGACACTAGCCTATGTTAACATATGCATATAAATGGTATGGCGAAGTCAGAAAATTGATATCATCGTTTTAATAATTTTAATTTTCATACAAATCTGATTTTATAAATTTTATTATGTATAACAATGGGCATCTATAAATTTCCTTACATAAGCTTATATATTGTTGTATAAGACATAATAGGCCTGCTCTATTTTCAGTTTGGCCCTTAGACTGGAGGAGAATGCAGAACAATTCATCAGACTAGGAACATTATAATGTCCATTTTAGTTGCAGAATAACATCTATTACTATAATAATTAGTTAGTACACAGTTTTTAATTTGATTTCCCTTCGTACGAGAGACTTCTATTGACAAAGACATTTTCAGTAAAGATCTATAGCTTCTACCCTCATCCAAATAGATTAGTATCTATCTCTTTAGTGTCTCTTGTAACTAAAAGGGCTCATAAGTAATCGGGCATAGGACAAAGTGGGCGATAAGGGATAAAGAGTGTAATAAAAATAGAAAAGTTTTATTGGTAGGGACGCTCATTGAGAAACTCGAAAAAGTTATACATAGAGCTCTTAAATAATGTAACCGACCGAAAACATGATGAACAAAGACTTCTTAGACTGAATCCGCTTTACAATTTTTTCTTTTGCTTATAATAATTTTATATTCCTATTCAGAAACACTGGTGGCGACAAGCTGCAACTGCCCCATGAGTTGCGAAGAGGTCACTTACAAACCAGTACACGTATTCACAAAGTAAGTACGCTTTAATAATTGTAACTATGTACCTACCATGTTTATAACATTCATCATCATCATCATCATGTCAGTCATAGGACGTCCACTGCTGAACATAGGCCTCCCCTAATGCTTTCCACGTTGATCGATTGGTAGCGGCCTGCGTCCAGCGTTTCCCTGCTACCTTTACGATGTCGTCGGTCCACCTTCTGGGCAGCGTTCGGGAAACTACGTAACATCTTTTCGTCCAAAATACCCCAATGCCTGAAGACGAAAGTTTACAATCAATGTGTGTTACCAGTGATAACGTATGGCTCGGAAACGTGGCCTCTCACTATAGGCCTTATACAGAAGCTCAAAGTTGCACAGCGTGCTATGGAGAGGGCTATGCTTGGTATTTCTTTATAACATTAGTTACTTAAAATTAAGAACAGTATTTGTGCTATATTATATTACATTTGAGTTAATGCATTTAGTTTTGCATAACGTCTTAATTGCTATACAATAATTAATTATGTATTTCATGATTAATTTAAATATTTGCCTTCATTTAGCATTAATGCTAAATGAAGGCAAATAATTTACATAAATAAATAACAATGTTAAATTCATTCTTAGCGTTGAATAAATATTGCTCATTTCATATTCAAGAACTATTTAACATTTATATTAAGAAAAGGTGTTATTTAGCCCTGCGATAATAATCTTATTATTATACTCTCTTTGTTTTTATTTCTAGGTTGTAATTCTAATTTAAATAAGTTTGAAATAACTCTTTCCGAGACAAAATTGACTTTTAAACAGCACGAGGGCCTTTGTAAAAGTTTCATTGCTTTTTAGCTCAAAAGAATTTTCAATGCTCTATTCTCATTGCATATTTTAACATCACTTAGAAAGCTTTAATTTTTTATTAGACCTCTTTTGAAGTACTAAAAATAGTAATTTCACAAAGTAACTAACATTTAGTTCAATTAACTAAAATCTAGAGTCTAAAGTTTCTAAGACGAAATTAATAAGATTTTTTTCATTGTAAATAGGTAACTACGAGTATGGTTGCGATTTGCAAAAGAAACTGCTAATTCTTGTACCATATCAACTACACAAGATATTTTACTTGTTAGCTTGTTGTTCTCGTCTGTACAATGTAAATTGTTATAGTGATATCCGAGACAAGAAGCAGTTCAACAAACTAAGTCTCTACGGGCCTCGTTTGTCTTACTGTAATTAATTAATTGCCGCATCTCACTGTTCTGACACATCGTATATTGTATATGAGCATACTGTGATGTATACGTAGATAATGTGATACTTGTTACTGAATGCTAGGAAAATATCTAAAAGCCAAAGCACACGATGCGCCTCACCACAAAGATTTTGCCGCATCGCGCGACGCGGCGCTCACGTTCCTGCCATAGAATTTCTATGCCTACTACTCAGCGACACTGCTCCGACGTCGCACCGCCGCCGCTACGCATCGTGCGCTCTGACTCTAAGCCCAAAGCGTCTGTTTCCCAAAGTCATTAATCCAGAAAGAAAACATACATTATGTTCCCATTATTCCGGAATGTCTGGAGGTTAAGTGACTAATAATTTTCTTTTCAGACATCCCAAAATGGATCGCTCTGTTGTTTGTGCTAATAAAACAATATTGGCAGAATAATGAATCCAGGATTACCCAGTGTTAGATATCCAAAACTGAAAATGAGATGTGTGATAATACACCAACGCTCTCAGAATGTTAATATGTATCAGGGCTTCGGAGTACTGTGGATGCTATCAGTTAAATTGTTCTAAATGATGAAGCTTTTTTACCACATTTTTGTTTCAGAAGTTTTTGATCTGATTTCACCTCACATTTATCACATAATATTAGGAGTGTTTTTCTACATGGAAATCAATGGGGGAGGCCGTTCAGCAGTGGACGTCCTATTGCTGAAATGATGATGAAGCCTTTAGTTACTATGGTGAAACATAAATTTTCATTGGTTTGAAACTTATGTAATGTCGCTAAAGTTCAAAATATCGTCGCATCAATTCTGCCACTACCAGATAAAGGCGAAAGTTGTTTTAAGGAGTTGAAAGATAGCTTATAAAAGGAGTTTCATCTTTGGATGTGTTACCAGACGCCATGTAGACAACGTGTCACCAGAGCTGGCCGCGCGCGGCACTCGAGGCCTGGTGAGACTGGCCAACCTTCCCACCACGAGGGTGCAACGAGCTGCCATCAGGCACACCTTGGGATTAGTCGGTAGGTACCTGTTCACTTTCCTCATCTTTAAACTCATTTAATAAAACCACAAGATTTTAGTCTTGGATCATTATAGCTGATCTTAGAGAAGCATATATTTAGTCTAAATATATACAACTCAAAGTTGATTGACTGACTGACTGACATAGTGATCTATCAACGCACAGCTCAAACCACTGGACGGATCGGGCTGAAATTTGGCATGCAGGTAGATGTCATGACGTAGGCATCCGCTAAGAAAGGATTTTACGAAACTCCACCCCTAAGGGGGTAAGTCGCGGGCGGCAGCTAGTAGGTAATAAAAGTGTAATGTGTGATTATTAAAACAAAAAATAAATCATAGGTTCAATTTAATTTCAGTGACCTATTTCAGAATTAATGCCCATTCCATAAAACTGAGAGCTCCTTTAAAGCATTTTACTAGAGTCGTACTAAGTTATGAGTCATTACGTCTAATTACGTAATTTCATTGTTAATCAGCTAACCCCGGGAGCGCTTATAATTCGTGCCGATTCATTCCCCTAATTGACATTCCGAATTCATTAACACATGAAGATGTGCTCGTTGAAGGCGAGACGAGAGTATGCCGGATTGTCACGGCTTATAATTTGATATGACAGAATATTTGAGTATAATATGGTGCTTTTCGTCAAGGTGAAGAGGTGGGTATTCCAAAACCAGCAGTGTTTTGATAAAAATAATCGAAGATACCGTTGGATTGCGGGAATTAGGGGAAATTGTATTTAAAACTACTACTACGGTGATGATGATGATGCCAAATCAAATTGGTACATAACATCTTTCTTCTTTCTCAATGAATGAGCACTTTTATTTTATTCTTGAGAAGTGATTTCAGTAGTTTTCTATATTTCCAAATAAGTATAAATATTGGGTTTTCTTAAAATACTTCTAACATAGTTTGTTTGTAAACGAGCCAGAAACAAAAGTCCATGGGCAAAACAAACCTCGTCTGTAGATCAAAGCTCAGGCAGCGTAGTAAATAACGTAGCACCATTTTTACAGTGGACATCGGCGGAGTGGTCGGCGTGTTCCTCGGCGCTACCCTACTCAACGTCATCGAAATTGTTTATTTATTATGCATTCGTCGGACGAAATAGAGAAATATTTTGAATTAAGTATAGAATATTTGGAATAAGGTTTTCAATTCATACACAAACACCTAGGTGATTTAATACGCCACACAATTAGGCGACGAAATTGATGTATTGTTGCTTAATCATGTTTGAAACTATCTTTAGTTTCAGAATGTGTATTTTTTTTATTCATTGGTGTTCTTTTTATATTAGATTAAGGTTTAAAATAAAAATTATTTATTTGTGAGACATTTGTGTTTAGGTACATGTAGAATAATAGTGTGTTCTGACATGACTTTGTTCAGAGAGATTCTTTTACAAAGCTATCTGTTCAAAGCAATAATTACTTACACTCTCATGCACTTTGTTCTCGATTTGATCACGTATTCACGCGTTACATAGTAGACCTAGATGGAATGTATAGTCGGCCGCACAGAAGGCCATATATTTCGTTACAATATAGTACCTATTGCTACCGCATAAGATTGGACTGCACTGGTGTAGAGTACCTACATGGCTATTGTAAAAGGTTTACGACACCTTTACAACGATATTTGCTAATTAACTCGTAAAATGTAAATAGTTCTGCTAATGGATTGGTCTGCGAGAGTGAAAAAGCTCGGGTGCACTTAACTTTGTACACTTTTCAGGGTAATCCTACTTGTAAATTTTAACTGAAAATGTATTAAACCCAAGTAAGATTTAACACTGGAATTTTTACTTTTTGCGATAGAAATATGTCTTGTCTCGTCACATAAATTTTATATCTCACAAAACATTTAGTTTATCAACTGTAAGTATAAAATATACGAGTAAGGACCTACGCGTACTAAGCATCAGTTTTTATTTCCCTGTAAAGACTGTAAAACAGATATTATTTATTTATTTAAATAATACATGAGAGAGTATTATGAGTTTTTTGACTAGATTTCAAACCATAAAACATCGTCATCTGCTTGACCTCAATATCTAATATACGTGAATACATCTCATCAAACGACCCCCATAACCATTAAAGAAAAGCCGACTCTCTTCAGGCACATTTATTTTCTGTCTATTGTATGTTATTATTGTGATTACATATGATGGGCTATAATTTTACCAAAACGGCTCCTTATAGTAGGTATATACTTCCGGAAAGTTTGAATTTCAATCAAAATCAGACCGACCATTTAAATAGGGAATATCAACATATATATTCCAATAGAAATCCACATTATGGACACTTTTCTCGAAGCTGAAATGGTTCCAGGAAACTTTTTCAATTTTGCTATTCATAAAAAACCTTTTTGCTTCAATAAACATTTGCTTAATTGGTCCACCGCTATTAAGGTTTGCTTAGCGACACATTAATTAAAAATTAAATAGATTATTCCCTATTCCTATTCCTAAAATTTGCCATATCTTTTTATTTTTTTGAGAAAACCAACCTCTACAGCTACGAGCTCTGTTAATCTTATTTAATTTGAATTACAGACGAAAAATGACAGATTTTATTCGAAAGGCGACCAATTCCGTTTCATATTGAATTTCCTGTGACAGCGAGCGTTCTCAGAGTTCCCATTATTTATCGAGTAGACGAGCGGACTAGTGACGTGCGCATTATCGATAAACTACTGTGATGCGATTTATTTTTTTCAGCTGAAAGAAAGTAGTCGTTTATTATCTTTAATGTGTGATTTGTTAGGTGTTATCTGGTAATTTTATTTACAATTTGTAGTTACTAGGAACTACAGTTACAGAACTATACCCATTTTGTGTACAAGAATTTTCCGTAAACAACTTATTGAGTGGACAGAGAAGATAAATTTCTTCCAAAAATACCAATATTTAGATAAGTATGCAGAGTGAACTATGTTTAGTATCTTAAATTTGAGATAAACCAATCTATAATTTTTTTCTTGCTGTTTTAAAAGAATGGCTATCGATATCGGTACTTTATTTATCGACATTCCCAACACTGCTGAGTGCGAACACAGCCTAAACGGACGGAAACGTGCACGGGAGATAAAACCCGATTCCTGTTTCATTTATGTGGTTCCAAAATGCTCACCTGAAAGCAAAATAGATACCTTCATCATTGGCATAGAAAGTTCTGTATTCGTATTAATAAGTTATCCACTTTAAGATTTCTTTATACACCGACCTCGGAATATTCTGACTATATCGGCATTTTTCCACAACAAAGTTTGATCCATAATAGAATTGCGGGAATATTGCCGAATTCGTCTAAATTGTCTTAACTGACGGGCATCAATGGTGAATGAATCACATGGTGAACTGATGAAACGTAGATGGATTGGAGGGGATTGTGTGTGTTTTTATTACTTGATCATCACTAGCAGTACACACAATCTCTTAATGCTTGTTTGGTTGTGCCTGTGTAGACAATATCCTCCATAGTTGAGATCTGGCTTAAGTTGTCATTTAGTATGGAAATATCATTTTAATCCAACGTTCATCCAAGATGTAACTTTTTATTAATAAGGGGGTATAAGTATAACGTTGGTTTTGTTTATTTTGGTATCCGGTTCGGTAATGCATAACGTCTCTTTATAGGCGTAAAAAGTAAAGCTATTGCGATAACATTTCCCTCAAAATCTTAAATTTTCATGAAACCTTGGTGTGACTAATCTAAAATGCAATGTAATTTTAAAAATTCTACTATTGTGGGGCCGATTTTCGTCCAATTCTGCTTCTATTATTTTGTAGTGGTTGACCCAGATCAATGAACTACGTAATTATTCCAATACCATCTGGTAGTTAGTAAGTTTGGAACTCTGACGTGCCAATAAATGAGGAGGAAGAAAAGTAAGTTCGATCGTAAAATGCAAAGTAGGTGGAAAATTGTTGTCAACTTTAATGTTTCAAGGACTTACTGTTAAAACGATTGTGATTGTTTCGCCTCATCCTCTAATAATATTAGTAAATGACGTATTTTTGTGCGATTGACAGTAGGTAAGCTGCTGGGAACTCCACCAGTTCTAGAAAGCACCATCCTCTACTTTTCCATATCAAAACACTGCCAAAAAGGCCCTGCAATAACTTTAAATGTAGTGCAATATGTTAATTATTGCTTCAAGTTATTAAACACTGACCGATGTAGCACAAAGAGATAAAAAAGATTTTGTAGTTCCTCTCGCCTGTTTCCAAGATTTAATGAAAGAAAGGTACTACGTACTAAGAGTATCCTACGAATTCTCTGAGGAACTTCCTCCTTTCGTAACCGAGCTGGAAATGGAAGGGAAAATTCTGACGACGCTTCTGCCCAATAAACTAGACCTTAATTTAAACGTAACATTTATGCACGTAAATCTTTTTCTTTTCCTTATTTTGTATTAAACAAAAACCTCATGTGTACGAGTATAATCACAAGAATTTTAATTAAGGTTTTAAAATAATGTTGCATTTAAACTTTTTGGCTCAGCTCAGTCGAGAAGGCGGAAACGCAGTTTTTTTGCGCAGAATATTATGAAGAAATATTTGACACAAAAAGTTATTGTCATTTTGAAAACATTTTAATTTTACACTTTTTTAATTTATTTTTATAAAGCTTATTAAATATAAAGTGAAAATGATTGTGAATTTTTTTTCATTTGCTTTATTATTTTTTGGATTAAGTAATGCACAAAACGAAACCGAAGAATGGGACCCTTTTCCCAAAATAATACATGGTAAGTTTCAAAGCTTTGTAGACCCCATGCCAGCCTATGGCTGAAATAATGATGATGAGAAGCCCTATGCAGCTGTGACATAAATTATCAGACTAAAATATTACTTTCGGCTCTGTCAAGACAGGGCTTCTTCAAGAAGTTATAAACTTCAAACTGCCTTTTTCAAAATCCACAAAAAAGAAAGCTCTTGTTCTGAATCTAACCTGATAGAAAGTGACGGAGGTGGAAGCAATCTTCACCCGGAATTTTCAACCATAGAGGAATTGTCTGTCTTACCTACCTCTACCACTATAACAGTAAAATAAAAAGTTATAGAAGAGTTCGCAAAAGTTTACTATCATAATTTTCTTTCATTATTGCAGATTATTTCGATCACTGCAATAGGAGCTTTTGCAGTCTTCCATGCGAGTCAACCCCTCCTCCGCCATTCTGTCCCATGAACCAACCGCCTTGTCCTACTGGGTGCCTCTGCATGGCTATCTGCGAGGTGCCTACCGTCCTCTGCTTTGAGGCCAGGCACTGTATTGAGAGGAAGAGAGTGTTTACGAGAAGGAGGAGGACCACGACGCCAAAACTCACCACCAGTTCTACTATGCGGCTTGCCAGACACTACTGAGCACAGAAAAGCAAGATTGCTATGTACTTACGTGATCCGTTTGCTTGTTTGCCTCCTATAACATAAAAAAAAAAAAAAAAAAAAACGTGCAGACTGTACATGTTTGTCGCAAAATTTTACTTATTACAATTGATTAGAAGGTACCACTGTCTGATGTTCCTTGATATGAATATCTTGATGTTCCTATCACCTGTACCTAAGTCAGAAGGATATGGGTAGTAGGCGCTAGCAGTTATTTGTAATTGTAGAGTCGTTTCTTATATTGTTCGTGGTCAATTAAATCTAAAAGTGTGTTTGATCTTATTTATGTTATTAAATTGTATTTGAATATAATTTTTGTAACTTTAAAATTAATTTCTCATTTTTGGTTTTACAGTCATTTTAAAATTACGCCTGCACAAAGTTAAGTCTCTACTTTAGAATGTAGATTAGTATTTACATCTTCGATCTCGGAATGCGTGGATTAGATTTGGTTTTAGGGATTTAAAAGGGTTCGTTTGTTGTCACACAACAGCATTTTATTCGTTTGAACTCTACGTACGAAACGTTTTACGATATCAGCATATTCGAGGATCAGTGTTGTTGGTTCAATTGATTGAACAGAGATATTTTTTCGTCGAACAGTTTGGTTCTTGTTTGATTTGCATAATGCTTTTCGAAAATTAATTTTGAATGCTTTATTTTTACTGAATCCATAAATATTGAGGGAAAAGTGGTTTTGATAAACAATTTAGCAAGACAGTGAACAGTTTATTTTTGTAATAGGATTTTTGAGTTTATTTTAGACTTTGTTTGATCTGAACATACAGCTTCGACTTGATCTCTGTTAGTTTCTCAGCTAATGCTAGCTAAGCTATCACTATGAGATATTCTATTATATGGTCTTGTAGCTGTATTATATCAGTTAGGTGGACCCTTTGCCCTTTAGGACTCTCTAACAAGGGAAAAGTTTGGGTANTTTGGGAAGTTAGACGAATGATTTTCGATACTGCGCTTACTATTTTACCGTTACTTGTCCGGCTTGACTCTTGAACATTTTCTTTTATTGCTTGGCCAAATCACTTTTCAAACTCTTCAAAAGATATACACTTCCTAGTTTAAACGTTATTTTTATTGAGCTTTATAAACTTCATAGACTGGGTTAGTTGTAACTCAATGGCACAGTCTTATTAGTTAAGTATGCAATCAGCTATATAACTTCCCCTCATCTAAAATAATCCTCCCTTAGGATAGAACAAATATCTCCAGAACTATTTATATCTTCTTCCATTGAAATAAAAATCGAGACACAACTGGCCTAATCTTGACATCTCTACAATCGTACGGTCAAAAAGTTAAAGTAAAGTTATTTTTAAAGACAAAGCAAAGAAGCCTCAAGACAGATTGCGTCCATTAATTGAGGAAGATTAGTTGGGAAGTGTCTGTGAGAGATAAAATTTGTCTCAACCAGGGATGAATTTTAATTACAGATGGCCGAAATTAATGCCTGACTTTAAAGTTTAAGGGAGAAATAGAATGGTTTTCATTTACATTTTGGATCTTTAAACAAGTAGGTTAAGCTCGTTTACATACGAATG